AAAAATTGTTCACAGATCTATATTTTCTCTAAATTCTTACGTGTTTCTATTAAATGTTAACAAAGCTAGTAGTCTGAGGAAATCCAATCCTGTTTACAAAAAGCCTTTGTTCAACATTCACACATTCTGTTTTCAGTCGCAATTCATTTCACACAAGGCTGTTTTCAAGTCTCACTCAAAAATTTTTTCATTCGCAATTCAGTCATACATCTGTAGTAAACACATTCAGCGTTCAACATTACTGTATATTTACTTTGTACTAACCTAGAATAGCAACCTTGTGTAAAATAATTTAAAAAAAATTAGAATTTTTACATGCTTTACATTTTATTGTGAGTCCTATGATTCACACTCCTCTATTTTACTACGGGTCCCAGACCCAAAAGAACTGTGCAACAGTAGGTCCCAGACCTATAAGAAATCCACCGTACCACAGTGATCTCTTGACTATAGTACTTTTAACACAAAGCTTTGCCGATTCACACAGCGGCCCCAGGCCCGACCAGCTGACACGTCTGTCACGCTCACCCTGAGAGGTAGCGAGAATCGTTCTACTTGAACAGTCTACTCACCAAAAAAGAGAGTGTTGCCAGCCATCAGGTTCTTATGGATCACAGCGATTAGCGACCCTCGGACACTCAGGAGTCAGGCCCTCAATGTCTCACCCATAGTTTGGAGGGGAGGTTTGAAGTCCAGAGATCCAGACTCCAGCCATGCACAGTTTTACCTTCAGCTCCAAGTGTCAGAGTTCTCTCGCGTGTGATGAGCCGATAACGGCAAAATTGTGATGGCAATTTGAGTTTTCAAATAAACAGCTCAGGCAAACACTTGTCTTTTCGTGAATTTTATTCAAGTCTTCTGCAGAAGGAACTCACAGGGACACATATGCATCAGAGAGTATCATCCGAGTGAGCTGCAGTGTTTCAGCACATGCAGCTTTTATCTTAGTCTCAGGGTTGGAGTACTATCTCATCAAAAGAACATGGTGTCTTTCAGTGTTCCCTAGGGGACACTCAATCTGGATCTATAGAAAGACACCCATGTCCAAGGTACATGTGGTGAACCGCTTAAAGTCATGACCCCTCTGGACATGTGCTAAACCATCACACACATTTACCTTCCATTGACCCCATACCCAAGAGGCTGGAGGTCCCTAGTGAAATTAGTTACATGGCAGTGTTTTAAAGATGACAGAAACATCAATTCAACTTTGGCAGGGGCGGGCGTGTGCGTGAGACGAGCACGACCGCAACAGTTTCACGGGAACACGACCGCTTGTCGCTACGCCTGTCACAATTCCCCCGCCTCCCTTCCTACACGCTCGCCTCTCATTGAAAATAAATTACAAGGGGCGTAAATCACTTCCCGTGTGAAAAGGCCTTAATGCAGAGGTGTCAAACTCATTTTCACCAAGGGTCACATAAGCATTATAGTTACCCTCAAAGGGCCAGTTGCAACTGTAAGACTGTATAAATGTAACTACTCCTTAACATATTGTTAAACTGTCTCTTTTTTTTTATTATGTATTCAAGTTAAGGACATTTATCAGATGTAAAATTATAGCCTTAGTAAGAAAATTTCTGTGTTATTATAACATAAATTAATTTATCAGATTTAAAAACCCTCATTACTCCATCAATCAAAGATCAAACATTTCAAGTAAATAACAAAGACAAATATCCATCCATCATCCATCCATCTTGCTGTGAGACGACAGTGCTAACCACTGCACCGCTTTCAGACAAATATCATCAAACATAATCTTTTATAGTAACTTTTCACTTTTTCACAGTCCAGAGGTGCAGAACCATGGTAAAACAAATAATTGTGAGCTGCTAATAATATGAGGGACAGATGTGGCATTTGATTAAACAAATAGTCCAGCTGCACACAGCCTTGCAGATAGCATACATCCAACTAATGAGAGATAGTTTGATTACCTGGAAAGATGCAGACGGTTAGGCTACTGTAGCCTAGGTCTAGTTCACACTACACAATTTTTAGCCCGACTTGCCACTTGGTGAGCTCAGCGACCATCAGGCTGTGATCGGGAGTAAATCAGCGATTGATCTGCGGTCGCCAGTCGTTATGTGTGAACTACTCAACAACGCATCAAAACGGCTCCCCGACAGATTTCTGACACATCACCGACATCTGCCAGATATATAGCATGCCAAATATCTGGAGAAGTCGTCCGACTCGACATCTACATCCAGCCAATGAGAGCAGGCAGCTGGCAGAGCAGGCAGCTACTTTTTCACCGCAGAACACATTTTACTCACCTCCAGCTCTCTCTGTAGCTCAGACGATCCCTGCTACCTGCGTGTGCTAATCCATTCTTTCACCCATATTCTTTGACTTTCTAATTGCTATCTTTACAATAACAAACAACAGCTGTTTTGTCTGTAGGTTCGCGTCATTTCCCGTTTGACATTTCACGTGTGTTTTCTTGACAAAACGTGGTTTGGAGACCAGTGTCGGGTGACAGAGCCTTAACTAACGTTGATCCTTCATCACTGATACTGCCTCATAACACAAAAGACATAGGCCTAGCCTACCGTTTTTCTCCTTGAAGCACAAACATGTATTCACTTTCCCACCATTCATGAAATTGGCTTCCTTCTGCATCAATTTTTCTCGTCTTGTCATCTCCACTTGTCGGAAAACTACCGTAGTGGGTGTGGAAACATCGCAGTCTAGTGGCAGGATGCTCTCACTTCTCAGGTCACAAAATCAACATGCATTGTGGGAGATGCAGTTTATGGCAGCATAGACTTTTATTTTAGGACAATCATGAATCTTTAAAGCTTTCGCGAGCCACATAAAATGACCTGGCGGCCGGATTCGGCCCGCGGGCCTTGAGTTTGACACATATGCCTTAATGTGTGTGTACATGCGACCAGTTGCGTGTGATGACAGAGATCATCAGGTTAAGAGATGACTCCTCGAAGTTGCGCTTGGAGGACAAAAAATAGCGTTGTTTTCCGCTGCCTGCCAACCAATATGCAAGTGATACACTGTTACTTGAGTTTGTTACTTTTTGCGTTGCCAAAATGCTGGATGGTTGTTGTGCTTTCAGATTTATGAATCGAGGAGGAAGGAGACAAGCCTGGGCTGTGTTAGGTGAAGGATTCCCCAGAAGGTAAAAGTAGGCATGACCGCAGTCGAGCGGCGGTAGAAATGCGGCAGCGGATGCTGTAACGTTATATGGATCGGCCATGCCCAACACTTGCAGTTTGTGTTCATATCTTTCTTTCAACTAAGTTGAAAGGTGATCCAAATAAATTTGACTGCTTTTGCGGCGTCTCTACGGAGTCGCGGTGTCGTTCTGTTGTTTCATCCTCCAGGTTACTGCGAATTCCTCACTGTAAAAATACTCTGCAAGTACTGCACTGAAAAAGTTAAATAAAAGTATTTAAGTAGGCTATAAGCAGGAGAATGTAGAAGTAGCTTATTAAAAATAAAAATAGCCTATAAGCAGATTAATAAATGTCCTATATGACTGTCACTATTATATCATTATTAATGTAGCCTAGTTGGTTGAGGTTGAACTATTTTGTATCAGACTGAAATTAATGATTTTTATTAATATTTTTATTATGTAGGCTATTGATCATACAATATTTCCCTTTGAGAAGTGGTGAAGTAGAAAGTGGCATGAAAAGAAAATACTCAAGTTCAGTACAAATACCTTGTGTAAAAGTACAGTACTATTTTGATACTGTCCACCACTGGGCTTAGCTTTGGCTACCTGAAACTAAGGAAAGGACCAGAGACGTTTTTCTATATTTTGGCTCTGGACGGAACACTACCATCCATCAAGATGGTGAAAATGGCTAGCCTTGAGCCACAGTGCTTCAAGTGGGAGCCCCCTATCCCTGTCATCAAGGCATTAAAATGTGCAACAAACAATTACAACACAAAACACCATTCATAAGATGAACTGTATAGCCTACTCACACAAACAGGTTGGCATACATGCGTAGGTGCATGCCTATGTGTACAGCACTGTTACACACATAGACAAATTTCTTATTAGTTTTGATACATTTTATTTTTGAGATACACATTTATATATGAATAGTGTTTTATCAGATTCACCTATTGTTAAAATTTCTATTTGTTCGGGTCAATTATGAACTATATAGGTAAAATTTATCATGCTAGTGACTGCTGCCAATATTTGAGTTAGTCCTCCTCTAACACGCGTTATCTCACTCCAAGGTTTGAGTCAGATTGTACCTCCTGACCACTTCTACCGGTTTGAGTCTCACAGTTTACTGACATTCGTATTACACAGTATCTATTCTCAAGCTGCCACGAGGTGCAACCCAATTTCAAAGTGAAAGTAAAATGTGTTTCTTTTCTCACACAGGAAATTTGTGTTTCTTTGAAGAAGAATTCACTTTAACCAAAACGTTACTTGCCACTCTTTAATTCATACGCTCATGTTGTCAGTTTCTGTCACCCTCACCCTCTGCCCAAACAACAGATATTACAGCAGCTAATAAAATATATCTATAATATATAAATATATATGAAATATAAAAATAGGTGCTTTGTCAGGTCACAGTGGATAAACCACACTGATGAATGTACAACAAAAATATATAATTCAGCTCATTTTCACTCCATATCAATTGTATATTGTTTTTAACAAAGAGGACAGTAAGTAAGAGATAAATATATTCATAGCAGTGTACAAATAACTCAAATGACAGTTTTCTTATCTCACATACCTTATTCTTCTCTTATCACAGGCAGACAGGGGCTCTTAGGTTTAGTTGCTTAACACTGATAAAATTAACACTTACTATAAGGCTTTTAAGTACACCATTTTTACTTTCCTGGCTGTTTGAGCACATACTGTATGTTTTCTTTACTGTTTAGTTGCATAACCCACATAACTGAAACACTGGATACTACTGTTCGGTGACTTGTGGATTTTCACATAGATGTGTGACGCTGATAAAACCAAACAAAAGACCAAAAACAGCCAATTTAGGACAGATTCTCAATGACAACTGTATTGTCAAGATGTTTATTTACAAATGACGTTCTATGTACATTTGGATTTTTACGTAAATTTACATCACCTAGACATAATCATCAGCCACTACACCCACAACATCCAGCTTTATAATCATTGAACACTCCATTGATATTCTCATCTGATGCTTTAAATTAAATATAAGAACCCCACATTTGCCCCTTTTTGGGGGGACAATTAAATTAACATTTTAGATACTCGTACCAGCAAAAGTTTCAGTTCACAGTGTCATTGTAAACCTACCAAATTCATGTCAAGTATATCAGCATATTCAAATCCATAGACAGCATACATGTAATAAGTTTAGACATTTCTTTAAAGTTCCCAGTAGTATACAAGTAGTAGACGTCCACATCAAGTCAGTCACATTCCAAATAAAATGAGTGCAAGGACCTCTATGATACAAAAAATATATAAGATAAAAATCTTGTACTGCATATGAAGATAATGGTATCATGGTTACACATACAGTAGAAAAGGTGACCAATAATGACATTGTGAGTTTTCTGACTGAATCAGACCTAAGTAGAAAGAGTTGTTTCTTTCGCCTACTTGAAGCCACTGCAGCATCCGTACTGGTCCAAGTAAAGGCATTGTGTAACAAACCCAGAATGCTAGCATAACTACAGGCTGTGCAAGGTAGCCATGGTTTTGTCAAAAATTAATTTTGCCTCAACAGTTTGAAGCATATTCACATTAATGGGTTCACTATCATTAATAATTTGGGGACAGTTCACTGCGACAGGGCCGCTGGGTTCCTGGCAAATGGAAAACCCCCATTGTACCAAACCAGAAAGAGGAAGTAAAATAGGTGTTTGCAACGGATTAGGGGAGGGTGGTTCAAGGGTGTGTGTTAGTGCTGAGACAGATAAAAAATTGTGCACCAGGGCCCACAACACAATAACAAGCAACAGAATAAAAAGTCTGTAATTGTAGAGGGAGTCACTGTCCTCCTTAGCATGGTGCAGTACCTCAGCTTTGGTCTGTGAATTTGCATGCTGACAGTGTGAGTCCTTCAAAATGCCAATATGAATACATTCTTCTATAAGTCAACCTCTGAAAAATCTGCACAATTTTCTTGATCTTTGAAAGAACCTCCAAAAGTTGTATTACTGCACAGAAACAGCAAATTCAAATATTGTCCACGGTCCCTCTTCACATAAAGTAGAGTTTTCTGGAAAGTTTGACTTTGACTCATACATTATACTAGTATCCACCGAGGTGCAACTCAGCTTGTTGGTGCTGTCCTTACCGGTGTTCCCATCAAGCTATAGGATTTCAACTTTCTGCGAGCAGACCAGGTCACTGTTGACCAGATTCCACATGTGCATGAGGTCCGACGGGAGCAACTTGTGCACCACAATCATGCTCTTAAAGAAACAGGGTTCTCTGTTCAACTTACTGTTCTTATTTTTCACCAAGCCAAATGTCTTAAAGGCGTTGTGTTTAATAGGAGTGACCTGAAGCACTTCTAAACACATGCCCAAAAAGACATCATCGATGGGGTAGAGCTCCATGATGTCTGCGACCCTGTGAAGCCTCCTTGCGAGGGCCCCGTCCATCAGAAAACCCCCACCACCTGCATATGGAGGGTAGTGTGTCTTATCAAACAAAGCCTCTGGGATGTAGTATTTGTTTTCCTTTTTACGAATTGGCTTAGCCTTGAAAATCACATCCCCCACAAACAGGTTCTTTGAATGTTTGTGCTTTCTAGAAACTCAAAGATGTTCTCCACGCTGACAAAGACGTCATCGTCCCCCTTGAAGACATAGCGTACGCCTCGGCAGTAAGTGTGGAACCACTTGAGGAAGTGAGTCTCCTTAAGCGTGAGGTTGAAGAAGCTATCCAGGAAGTCCCACTGCAGCATATCCCTATAGATGTAGTCCTCGTACTCCACTAGCTTCTGATGGTTCGCTCTCTCTGCCTCATTGGAGGGTATACCAAGAAGGAAGAGGGTCTTTATCCTCTTGTTGTTAACCACCTGCTCTTTGCCCCAGGTTTTTCGGATGACCTCCCTGCGGTCATGCTGGGTGGCCACAGATTTTATTACCATGAGCAAATCTATGTCCCCTGTGCACTTCTCTGGGTGGTTGAGGTGCATGGGAAAGTAGCGGCAGTGTCGATAAAGCATGAACTGTTTGAAATTTTCCTCCAGGCTCCTAAACCAGTCCTGACTTGAGAGGTTGAGATTGGCGCTACAGTTCGAGTTGGTTACATCCCAGGTTCTGTGGCTGCTGTCCTCAGTCATTCTGGGCTCCTGTATGGCGGCCCGAGCTTCAGGCACTGGCTGGTGTTTGCTAGCCTTCCAGAAGCCTTTAATCCCCAGGTACGTGTCAGCTCCAAGCTCTGCTCCCTCAGAGGCATCCATGCGAGACTGCCTCTCATATTCAAAGGGAGCCCCCATATTAATGGTCCCCCTCTGGACAACAGTCAGCGCCACCACAGCCAGAAAAAACATGAAACTCACCATCTTGTACACCCTCCAGCGATCTCTGTTGTTTATCCTGGGTGAAGACAAAAAACAGAAGCCAGTCAGAGTTAGGGCAACCTAATCTAACCTAAATACGTTTTGATAGATGGAAAGCAAAATGTTGAATTACAATAATATCATGTTTGAGTGTTTGGATTAAGTTCACATTCATTAAGGAATATTGAGAGGCCCTAAAAATCATTGAGTGTCAAACAATGAGCTTAATATTAAAAAGCATAGGATCAAACATTAGTAAAGGAAGCATTTTTTGTTTTTTTGTTTTATCTTTAAGTTGGATGTTATTTGTAGTCTTATTTTTAGTCTTTAACCCTGAACATATAACTGTGGTCCGACTAGGAGTAAGAATGACACACCAAATAAAAGTCCAGGGTATTTAATTTACCAGTGATACCGTGGACATGTATCAGTTCTATGCGATTTGGAATTACAAACAGTTTAAAACCCAATACATAAATAGGTATGAAAGTGTAAGCAAAAATGCACAACATTCAATAAATGATCCCTTAGAGGATAAACCCGCATGTTTACACTACCAACTGAAGAATACTTGCTGTTCCATGATTAGTAAGCAAAGCAAACAATAACAAACAATAGCCACTGTGTGCTTTCACTGTAACTTATTTTTGCATGTAAATCATAGCATTACAATGACGCATAAAAAGACAGATTGCAATTTGTCTTTTGGTTTCCTGACTATGTGCTGTGGTGGCTCTAAAATAAAGCAGAGTGGTTGTTTCCATAGTTAGTAACACAATCACAGTCACGTCTTATTTCAACGGTGTCACTTCTGGAAGAACATTTGGAATGTTACTTGGAAAGTAACCCCTGGAGCTTCAATTTCCCACATTTCTAACATGTCATTCACGACCATAGAGACACTCCCATGTGGGCCCCTCTACCTTTGAAGGAGAGTTTCCCTACCAATTAACCACCATCAAAGTAAATCCTACATAAAAAAACAAAACAAATAAAAAGTCAATTAATGAAATCCAGTCTTTAAATTAATGACATTTAGACTTCTTGATAATGAAATTCACTTGTGATTTTTTTTTTTTTAAACACATGAAGAGTAGGTTGCCACACTTCGCAGGCAATTTGAAATCATTTCCACCGTTATTTTTTGCCTTCCACTATTAAGATGGACAACATCACCATGTTCTTTGTTTCACCCCCCTGAAACAAGCTCTTGTTGTGTCTTAAGTGGGATAAGGTCTTGTTCACTCAACTTCAAGGAGCATTACAGAGTTTCTGTTTCTGTCTGCGTGTAGCACCTTAACACCAAAGAAAATTCCTTGTATGTGTCAAACACTACTTGGCAATAAAGCTTCTTCTGATTCTGATTAAAATATTAGTCACTTTAAAAGTGAATTGAGTTGTGCGACTGATGTCTCATGCTTTCACATGCAGATCTTCAAGAGGATAAGTCAGATAAGCATTGTGTAAAACTGTTAATCCAGCCTATAATGATGAAATGTTTAAAGAAGATGCAACTCACATATTTTGTCGTGCTTCAGGCGATCTGTGATTGTTCCTTGGAGACAATTTAGCCCAGAAAAGGGGAATGGCTTGAGTTTATGTCTCTTTTGGACAAAACGATAATTTCTATCGACTCAGTACGCAATTGTTGAAATTAGTGTCGTGTGAAACCAGCAGAGAGTTGAAGGCTCCTTTGCCGGCTGGTGCAGATGTGGTCTGCGCTGCGGACGACTAGTCTTGGTCCCTCGCAGAGATCCGCTTTTAAAGGCACAGCTGCAGTCACGCACAGCCCACATTCACACACGCATGGCTGATGAATGGGACAGGGAGAGAGTCCGTGCAAGCACACACCTGATCTCCACAAGCACGATCGTCCACAGTCACGCCAACAGCAAGGTAAACACTGGATATATTTTGTTTCACTACATGAAAAAAATCCTAATACTTTTGTTTCCCTGTATATCCTGGATATCATGTGGGAAACTGGCATTAATTACCCTATGTAGGGTATTTCTGAAGTCACAACAATTTAACTCTGAGGTTAAGTTTTTCAACTTCTAAAAAGCTCTGAAGCACATTTTTACTTAGTGTACAAAATTAGTATCAAATGAAGTAGCAAATAGTTGCTATTCAAAATGGACCATTTCAGTTATATTATCATTTATATCCCACTGTATTATTGGATTGGTGACATGTGTCATGTGAGCTGATTTGATATGGATATTTTATTCTGTAACACCAAACCAAATTTGGTAAGCTGATCACGTGTTTTGTTGTTAGTATCTTTTGTAAAGTAACTATAGCTGTCAGATAAATTAAGTGGGGTAAAGAGTACAATATTTCCCCCTGAAATGTAGTGGAGTATAAGTATGTAGTAAGTAGCAGAAAATAAAATAATAAAATAATTGTTAAGCTGCCACAAAAGATTTAAGTACAGTAGTTGAGTAGATGTACTTAGATTCTTTCCACCAGTTTAGATGTACCTTACTGCACCAGAGATGTACATACAAAAAAATCAATAACTTTACACAAAACTGACCAGGGCCTACATAAAAGGAGACTTTCTTCTTTTTCATATAATGTTCCAGAACCGAAGAAAGACCTTTTGAAGAAACCATATAAACAATTTCCTCACATGTTTTTCGTCACTGAACAGCCCAAGATATCATCTGTCAGATTCACAACACAATTAACTACCCTAAACTGCATTACTGGTAATCAATATTTTTGATATACACAGACAATTACATTAACTCTCACTTCTGCTGCTCTGTATGCATTAGCGTTTTAGCCTCTTTGAACTCCTTTTTTTTTGTGGCACATTTGCAGTAGTCATGCTCTTGAACCCCCTCACCCATTTCCAGTAAAATAACCGACAGACAGACAGATGGCGGAGAACAAAACAGCAAAAAGTAAATACTTGATGTTGCTCTGTGTCTCTCAGATGTGTAATTAGGCAAGTGTGTGCTAACAGGTTTGCGATTAAATGGATATTGTGATGGATGTGCATTTGTCAGCTTGTTTTTTCTACCCTCTAGTGGTGGTATCTTCAAAGATACATCCATCCATTGTCAACCACTTATCCTGCGTACAGGGTCACAGGGGGCTGGAGCCAATCCCAGCTGACATCAGACGAAAGGCAGGGTACACCCTGGACAGGTCGCCAGTCCATCGCAGGGCCACACATAGACAAACAACCACGCGCTCCTTCAAAAACACAGTTTTCAGTAAAATATGTGTAATATAAGTGACCAAACCAACTCAAATCTACAGGTGGGTCTAAGGTGTTTTACAGATGAAAGGGACGCAACAGGAACATTAAAACAAATAATGAAAGAGGCATGAAGTGGTGACAAAATGTCAGCACGTGTCTTAATATTTTCACAATGGAAACATGAGGAAGTGGAATTAACATTTTCCTAAGTTAATATAAACCATTTGCTTGTCACGTTGAACTTCAGGAACAGCCTAAATAACTAACAGGGCCACAATGACCTACTAAACAATTATTATTAATGTTATATCCTGATATGCTACTGACTTTATTTTTATCAGCTACTTTAACAGCCATTGTGTGTCTAAGGATTTCATATATTTGAAACCCTATAAAAGTAACTTTGACATGCCACTTTTGAAGATTAGTACTTTTGTTGAATGGATTATTGCCTGCACTGGAAATCTAAAGAAAGTCAAAGTTTGGTTTTCTCTTTCTCTTAACTCTTAAAGTCTCTCAGACATGAAAGCTAAATGTGATGTCATCCTTCGCTGCCGATAGCTGAAATACTGATTGCACAGCTGTCACCACCACAACCGCACTTAACCCTTGCTGTTTTAAACTATGTTCTTCCTGGCCTCTTTATGGTCTGGGGAAAGATCAACAAAATGTCTCTCTGTGCTCCAAAACAGATATTTTTTCAATCCGAACACAGCTGTGATCCAAAATCACTTCTTCCTCTTCTTCTCTCTCCATTTCCTGGATCCAACCAACCATCCTTCTCAGGGCCATGTGCATCCTGTTGCCTGCTGGCGGTGTTTTTTCCCGTTTAGATTTTTTTTCCTCTCTGTGGATTCAGGCTCTGCAAGGGCTGCAAAGGAGCGAAGTGGTGATGGACGCCACAGTCCCTCATCTTTCCCTTGGCTGGAAAGGCATTGGTATGAATAGAAGCAACTGCCAACAAGGAAAACTGAGCTCTATGAGCACAATGACACACTGTAACAAGTGATTGGTGTCAGAATATGACCATGTAACTGTAATATTGTAGAGTTTCATTTTTATTTTAAAATTAATCTTCAGTTCATTGTTTGGTTTTATAACCCACCACTTTACTTTTCACCATAACATCTTGTTCTTATGAGGTAATAATAAATGAATGTTGTGTTAGCACCATGTTCATTTAAGCCCAAGTGAAGAAAAAAAAACAAAAACACTGCTTTAGCTTACGTGAAAGTCCAGTCAATTTTATTTGTATAGCCCAACATCACAAATCACAAATTTGCCACCGGAAGCTTGAGTAATATTGTGTAATCTATGACTGCTGGCAGTTGGCTTTACATAATAATGAAAACCATTATCCCCACATACACAAGTCCTGTAGGCATATCTCATATCCCTTGAATAGTGTAAACATATTTGATGAAACCAAAAATTACAATAGAGACCACTAAACTGCCTAAAACAGCTAAAACAAGAAAAGAGGGAACAAGATCTGGGTGTAAAATATAATCATGAAAATATCAATAAAAATGAGCCATCATTTTCATCATTTAAAAAAATTATTAGTAAGTCTAGAGATCAAGACCAAGGCTTATGTTTGTAGTTCTTGCTGGAGGGATAGGGTGGTAAGAGAAAAAGGACTGTTAATATGAAAAGGAAAACCTTGCTGCTACCTTTGGCTCACAGGAAGTCGGTGCTAATCCCTTGTTGGGCTTTACACACCTGAGGGACTTGGGAGAGGATTATCTTTGGTCTTTCCAACTTGTCAACTGTCTGACTCTGGATAAGTGAGGGGCCCTGGCTACTAACCCCTCAGTCACCTTGAAAGAATTTACTATTGAGGGAGAAAAAGTTGCTTGAGGGATACTTTTTCAGCTGTCAACTGAGGGTGTTCCCCTCTGAAAAGGTTGATAGAACAAAGACATTGTGATCAGGTTGTGTTTTTAAAGCCCCTGTCGGCTGTGGCTATAGGTAAACACCTGCCCCTTCTCTATCCACCCAGAGGCCCCTATGGGTTTAGTTAACCCATAAGTTTATCAGCACTCAGGTACAAATTACATCTATTTATTTCATGCTTTAATGATTTTGCCGATCAAGTTAAGGATGAGGCTTTGGTAGTGCTGACACACTTTCCTGTTTAGTTTCAAATACATCACTGATTTGGGCCTGTAAAGTGTCCCATCTGCAAAATTCCAAGAATGATATTAATGATTTCCGTGAGGTTATTTTGGGACACATGGTGTGTTCATTGTGTGATTAGTATATTGCAGCATCAAAACAAATCAAGGAACTGACAAAACAATCTTAACTTATAGGACCAGTGTGTAGGATTTAGTGGCATATAGCGCTTAGATTGCAACCAACTGAATACTCCTCGCCTCACCCTCTCCAAAAAACAAAAAACAACTATTCTTATTTTCACTTGATACATTAATAGAAAGGATACTGGAATATGATATTCCAGATTCCATACTCTATTCCTATTCTTCCAATAGATCCCCCTCAATCTTATCCATTGGTCTTTTAAGGTCCACTTACGCTTTTTTGGAGTTACTGACCAAGTCTCGTGGTCTTCATGAGCAGAGCTTGTTTATTTTCTAAGTGACCTATGTTTGACCCAAGCGGGAACCTCCTTGGTCTGCAAAGTGAAGCCAAAGCAGAAGTGCCTTAAACCTGCACTCTTTCTAATGGCCAGCAGGGGGCAACTCCACTGATGGAGTGATGCAACACCGGCATATGCCCAGATAGTATTCATCTGAACCGCACCGCTCGCACTTTGAGTTCAGACAGTTGTGACGGGCGGTAACGTAGCTGGTAAGAGTTTTGAAACATAAGCATCTAAAAACTGAAGCGCAGCCTGCTCTGTTCAGGACTGTGAGCTGCACTTTATCTGAACTGCTGAAGTTAACGTGTGTGGATTTGTGGTGAGATTTCTGCCTGATCAAAAGTGTCTCAGGTACTTTTGTTTTCACATGCATCATGCAGTCCCAAATTGCATAGGTCAACTTGGCAACTGTCTGGGGATAACATTGCTACCAGTGCATCATTAACGCAATGCACCGCAGAGTAAAGTGCAGGTAGACTTCTCATTAAACGATGATGGTGATTAAAACTGCCCAGAAGATCATTGGTATCCATCTCCTGAGCATCAGTGATATCGGTGAAGTGAGGTGCCTACGCAGAGCCCAAAGGATACTAAAGGACAGTACCCACCCCAGCCAAAGCCTGTTCACCCTGCGGCCTTCTGGGAAGAGATATAGAAGTTTCTATTGCTACACCACCAGACTGCAGAGCAGCTTTTTCCCCCTAAGCCCTCAAACTCTTAAACTCTAGTTCATCCTCAGCACTGCTCCAGTGATTATAGTTTATTGGTCTTTATTAATCGAATCTTTAATAATGTTTACTGTCTGCTATGTAGCAGAAGGTAGGTTACAAAGCTCATTTTCACTCTACAACTTGTTGTATTGTGACAATAAAATCTACCTACCTACCATGGAGAAAGTTTTGAACATCAGCAGAAAACACAGGGGCTATTAAAGTCCAGGTGTTTATAAATGAATTAAAATGAGTTAATTTATCATTGAGGTAAAACAGGTGCCACACGCACATTTAAAGAGGTTACTTCCCCAAACAAAGAAGAGAGAAGACTAAATCGTGACTCAGCAGGGATGATATTACATGAGAAAAGTTGATCTACAGGGGAAACAGATCTGAAAGCAACACAGAATGACTGAGAGCTGCACTGCATTACAGTCTGGTAGAGTTAGGCTAAAGAGTTTGAATTGTCACCTGCCACCTAAATTTTGTGTTTCTCTTTACATAAATAAAAACATTTTGAACATAAACGGATGTGGGAAAATTCATTAGAATGCAGGGATTAAAGTGGTTAATCCTAAACATTTTTCATATAATTCAGCACTAAAGTGCTAAAATCTTGTCCCGTCTCGATCTCGTGAATCCAATCCAGTCTCGTGGGTTAAGTGTCTCTTCACACCCCTAATTAGAAATTATGACAAAATGACCCTACTTTCCATTTGATTTATTACCTCAGTAAACACTTTCCTAATGAGTTTAAGTCGCAAGATTCAAGTATTGTTCAATAGAGCATGGTGTTCATTTAGTAAATTATGGTCCCATTTAGAGGAAAATAGATGATAAAGCAGGGTATGTTTTAGGGCTGGACTACCTTATGATTGACAAGTCGCTACCATGGCAATCTGTCTGTTAACCAGCGCTGTTGAAAAAACTTATTAGGAATCGGCTGTTCATTTTTTCCGGTTAGTACATTTTGTTTTAAGCCAACATCCAGGTTAAAATCATAGTTAATGTGAATTTCCGATGCACACCTTGCTAATCAAGCTAGCTAGCACCACCGTCTCATCCAAATATCGTCACGTCCAATGCCTGGTTGCAAAAAATCCAGATGGCGATGGCCAAAATGCCAAACTTGAGGCTTCATAACGGTAGTCTACAAATCAATGGGTGACATCACGGTGACTATGTCCACTTCTTTTATAGTCTATGGTTTAACTTAATATCCTATAATAGTCCTAAGTACTCAGAATAATAGAAAGTTTAAACATCTACACGTCCGTGACAACTGGAAAAGTTCCATCTGCTGATGAAGACCATGGTATATGGTCAAAAGCAAAATAGCCCTTGTTTTTGTCAATGTAAATAATCAAATATCAGCCACTATTCCAAAATCATTGGTTTTGTCTAAACAATCATAAGTCACCCGTGCTGCGTGCAGAAATCCCAGAAGAAAGCAGCTAGTGTGGCTTGCTGTTAAACTGATACAGCTGTCATCTGTGTCAGTGATTAATCAGCCTTAGACCGGCATTTACTGTTATCCACAGAACATGCCAACCCACAGTTTGGATTTGTTCTAGTGTACACACAGCAAAGATTTAGGTGTATACACACTAAAGGTTAATAGATAGTTTGTGAGGACATTCCTGAGGTCAAAAAATGTAAAAGGTGAATTCCAACAATGTTTTAGCCTTTAGTTTGTTTGATCAGCAGCCTCTTTAAATCTTTAACAATACCATACTTGTGAAAAGATCCAAAGCTCTGACATCAATGCCTTCTGTTAATATGTTATGGTGAGTTTTTCCCCTTTACCAAAGGGTTGATTTGCTGCACTTACCAAAACTACCAAATATGGCCTGAAAGGAAAGACACACAGCTTCAAGTGTTTACAACAAAAGGGCAGTTTTGGTGGTCACTTCTATTTATCTGTTCAAAAGGACTGGTCAGGAGGAAACAGAAGGTTCAGGAGACAGAGACAGTGAAACTCAGTCTCTTCATTGTTTGCGTCAGCTTTTATCAGTGGAACACATGGCTATCTACTGATAAGCGCATCTGAAAGGGGTGCCAGCGATACTGATGACAGTTAGGGCTCTTCAGTAGTACGGTTACTGGAGATTTGAGGGTCTTCAAGAAAAAAAGGGGTCTTGTTTGTTACGATAACATTTTCTTTTGTAGAGCTACAAAGACGCAGTGAATCTACTCAACACAGCTGTTAAAAATGTTAAAAATGTGTTGAAAATCCAGAGGACATAAACTATTCTTTAACTTATCTATATTAACTCAAGCACCAAGTAAAATCAAAGGTGAAGAATGAATTATTACATAAACATGCAGTTGCACATGTTGAAAGCTGTTTGCTGTTGGATGTTTCCTGGCTCATAGTTAAATGCAAATCCACATTTGTTTATACTTTCAAATGTAACACAGTCCGTAACACAAACTTTGTTAAAAACCGATCTGGTTATAGTATTATATATTTACAATTTGTCTTGGTACAGCCCAGATACACCATGTATGTGAAATGTCTGTTCCTGCACTTTGTGCTGCAAAGGCCCAGAGTCATGAAACAAGTCTGACAGTGTTTGATATTTTTACATATCCCATCCCCTAGATTTTATCCACACTTTTGTTTTGATAGAAAGCAGCAGCTTCCTCTCTGTCTTCTAAACAGCTACACAGTACCGGCGTGGCTCGAGCTCAGGGTTACACGGCCACCTGGTTGCAAGTGCGTCAGTCTGTCATGTGCAACCTGTTTCCTCGCATTGTGCTGCTGCTCACTGACTACAATGTTAATTGCTGAATATGTTATCTCTTGGGGCACCACATGTGAGAGTTAGGAAGACCTGCCCAGCTAAAACTAGCTGTATCATTCCTGTAGCCTTTATATATCAATATGTGTGTTATTAAGTAATGTCCTGGCTACGTGTTATCAAGTATTTTAACCTTACTGAGCTTCATAGTGAGTTTCAGCTCACTGTTCAGCTGATTGGCCCACAACTTTACTGTTGTGATTCACTCTCTCTGCTGTAAATGTGTCATTTTCAGCTGTGGCAGGCATCTGTTTTCAGCGAAAAAGCTCTTAAAACCCACTGTACATTACTTCCTCAGAACTAAACAGATGACAAACACAGTCCTAGCTGGTGAACACAGTGGAACTTTTACCAGCAAGCAGCAAACAGAGCTCCAACTGAAAAAATCCCACCCCCTTTTCTTAGGTCTCCGGCCAATCTCCCGCTCTATTTTCCCTTCACTCGCAAACAAGACCCTAAGGTACTTGAACTCCATCACTTGGTGTAAGGATTCATTCCCTACTTGAAGTGAGCACTCCATCGGTTACCTGCTGAGAACCAATCAGGCTGTTTCCAACAAAAACTTGACAACATCACTTTCATCATTACCTTTGTTTGGCCGATATAGGACTTCCAGATAGAGAAGGGCTTGCATTGGCAGGAGCTTTGTCCCTTCTGCCATAGCAGCCCTAAGAACATCCATCTATCTATCCATCCATCTATTCTTGATGAATATTGACAATTTACATCTGGTGCAATGGGTTAAGTGCAGGAATAAACAGTAGGTAAGTTTCCAGCAGCAATGAGTGACAACAGGACTTAGAGTGCATCCTGAATGATGATGATAATTATTCAGGGGGACTTTACATAGAGTTCAGCATGTCCCCAGAACTTTTGTAAGGGTGCAGCTGTGAGGTGAGTTGACGAGGGTGACATAAGAGCAGAACTGTGACATCTTGATTAGTTGAACAAAAAGAGTTTTTTCTTTGCACAGTGCAGCACAAAGGTGAGTGCACAACATTGTCGCTGGCAGTAATTATGTAAGGGGAGGTGATTTATGATTCAAGACAGCAGCCAACTGAGATGTGGCAACAAGAGTCATCACATTGAAAAATGCAATAACTGTATGTCAGTTAAGACCAGAAAACAGGTGACACATCACACATTTATTTAAATCCAATAAAAGTATCAAAATCAATTGCTATCGAAATGCATTACAACAAAAATGTAGCAATTAACATAAATATACAGCACATCACCTAACACAAGAAAAACAGTGCAAATGTACAATGCAACTGATGCTGGATTTAAGACGTTCACATATATTCAAGTTGTATGGATGGTAGTTTATATTAACAGCAATAAGCAGTTCCTAATATTTTGGAAAAAAACATGCACTAGCCTGACAATTAATGTCAAGACCTGTGTCTTGTAAACATTTCCTGGAGCATAAATAAAACAAGAACAGCTACTCTGATATGAGATAATGCTTTATATTTGCATTAAAGCAAATTATTTATTTATGTGGAGGGATAGTTTCCACCACGGTCAATATATACAGTACGCAGTGAAATTGACTTCAGACTGAAGCAGAGATATTGAGGATTTATCAACAAAAAAAGTGCCCCTGGGACTCCGTTTACCCCTATGCATGTGAGGAAAATGGCAGGTAATGTGCTTATGTCAGAAAACCAGTAGGCCAGTAGGCAGAAAGATGATCAAATATTTTCTCTCAAATCAGAGCTTTACTCCCGAATTAGACTTACATCTTGTTCCACATGAATTTTGACATGGCTGGAGGATGTTGCACATATTGAGGTGTGCCAAATATCACCTGGGGGTTGTGACTATTGTCTGACCTCATATCATGTTGCATAAGGGGACGGGTGGTGCAGAGCCACAATCCATTTCATTGTTCAAGCCCCTCCTCCTGCTGATCCACGATCATCTCTGTTGCCCTGACCCTGATCACAACCTGACGGGGATGATGTTACAGGAAGCCTGATGCTCCCGTGGAGATAGTGCCACTCCATGGTGACAGCTCCTTCTTCACCTCCTCTTTGACTGGCTGCCTGAAGGATGAGAGAGACGGTGGATAGGTGGGGGTGGGGGTGGGGGGGAGAGGGGGGATGGTGAAGAAGGGTTGGTAGAGAGTGGACAGTCACTACTACTAGTCTACTCTAGTAGTAACTATAGTAACTTAAGAAGAAAACCAATTAAATACCCCCTTCCCTCTTAACATGTAATAATGTTTCCCATTTCACTAAAAAGGCTATTCTCAGTGTATACGTGCACTGGAGGCTTCACGTTTTCCTATTGCGCATGTGTAAGTTGCATGTTGGATTTGGATACATATGTTAAACTAAGATTTAAGGTTAGTCAGAAAAACTTTCCCCTCTGCAGCAAATAATGGTGAAAGCACATCCGCCATTCTGCACAGTGAAGTTCAAACACTGAAGTACCAGTATGCAGACTTAAATTCCTTCCTTCCCATGCCAGAGTGACAGTCCTAAGAGAATTCTGCACGTCCTCTAGCTGCATAACCGGGAATCTGTCATTACGTGAAGCCAGCATTGTTGACCTGACTTGGGTAGAATAATGCAGTTTTTTACCATCCTCTCAACACGACAAGACAGCAGCAGCTCCCCGTCTTGTTTGCGCTAGCTGAGTGGGTGGTCAGCTACAAAAACACCTCCTCTATCTTTCCTCAGCCAAAGGAGTGCCTCTGTCACTCACAACGGATGTGTTTACCAAAAGTAGGCCTAAAGGGTATCCTGTATCAGTGTGTGGTTGGTGTTCCCTCCCTGCAGCCAGACTCCACCAAGCAGCAAATATTAGGCATTATAGTTGATAGTCAGCAGAAGCCAAAATAAAGTGAAAAGACAGTGGCTCAACAATAAAGTACCACAAGCTAGCAGAGAACAAACTAATAAAAGTGCATGTGCGCCTTTTTTGCCTTTAAGTGGAGCTACGTCTTCCTTATAAGTAGATACATATCTGACACTTGCCAGACCTCAAAAGTACCACACACACACACACACACACACACACACACACACACACACACACAGGATGTGGTGGCTTGGACTAACCATTAGGCCCTATTACAGGCTTTATGGTAAGGGCAGCCGGCATAAGAACCGGAGGTAATCGCTCATCAAATACAATTAAGATGCATGAAAGCATGCAAGATGTTATCATCCAAGAGCACCACAGCAACTGATCAGGCCATCTTCCCTGCAGTGAATCAAGTTCTATGTTTAAGATGTGAAGTTGACAGCAAATAAATAAATATGGCTATGGTAGGGAAGGGCTGAGTGACTATCTCACTGTTGGTCACCAATAAGTAACAATTTGTTTTCACTTTTTTTTGTGTAAAAGATCACGGACAGTGATGGCAACAGTCTGTTTGCCTTATGTGTCTAAAGTAATTTTAGTAGACTCAAAAAACTACTTCTACTTTTATTTGTTCCAACAGCCATATACTGCCTAGAACAGTGTAATTTTCATAACTGCAACTCACCATATTCACTATACAACCTTGGGTTAATGCAGCAGTCGGTAAGATGAGAGGCTAGTACACCACTGTCCACCCTCAAAAGTTGTGCATGAGCAGTGACTGACACAGAGTTAGAGACTCTTCCTGGCTCTGATTGGCTCTTTTGACCCAGGAGTGGTCGATTCTTGCAAATGCCTTTAAGAGCACTAAGAGGAAGAAGTGGTATTTTTCAGATTATCTGTCTCATGTACTACTGCCAGGATATGGTGACAATATATGCTGAAAGGTTATTTTATTTAAGTTACCTACTGTACCTTTAATATTACAATCAAATATCCATAGCTTTATCTTGTTTGGTTTCCTGAGACTAAACACAGCTCATTGACATCGGACAGTCTGGTGGCCTAAACATTAATATCAGATGCATGATGCTTTGTATGTCTCTCCGGACTAACGGTACTCCTTGGGTAGTGTTTTTGTAGGATTGTAAAGAAGAAAGTCCAAAAATAAGGAGGGCTTTACAGAATTAAAACATAATGTTCAAATATGGTTGAAATGTTCAAAATATCGACTTCAAATGCTTTGAAAAAAAGTAAAACTTTCAAACTTAATAATTAAATATAGCCCCAATTGGCAACGATCATGGTCCAAGCAGACCATTTGGAGAATTGTTTCTTATTTTACAAGAACAAAACTCTTAATCTTCTTCAAAATAATTCATCATGATCATCACTGTATGCTAGAATGGCATATTAAGAAACATTGTAGATTAAAAAAAACATTTACGGAGCTTAGTCATAAATTTACGAGAAGAATTTAAAGTTTCTGAGGTTAAAGTCACAAAAAGATTTTTCTGATGTGTGCTTGCATTAAAGGCTCTGTATGCTATGTTAATAACAATAGCAGCATCTAAGCTACTTCCACCAACCAGATAATAGATATCTTTATTTATTTTTACACACAATGGCCCTAATGAAATGTGAGCTCAACAAAATTGTACCCTGATCAGTCATCTCACAATGAAGTCTGCTTTTGTTGTCAGAACAATAAGAGAGGACATTCCTGGTAAAACATGTTTGTAAGACTCCCACACAGTTATGATACTATTTATGATGCAGCACCTGCCATGCACAGTTTATTTCTTAACACGTAAGAGTTGTACAGGCAGATAACATTCAATCCCAATACTGAATTTACATATAGGCCTAACACTAACTGCCTCTGAACTCCACCACAAAACATCTGCTACTGTTCCATGTCTATATTTTTGATTTATGATGTCACAATATTAGCATGGAGGTATAAAATTCCATATTCTGTTATGTAAAACTGTATCCATATCCAAGTTTAAAGTGTATGCTGGAAAATGAAACAGACGGACATAAACAGTTACAGCAAGTCACTTATGTCTACTTCTTAGTTCATCTTCAATTATGATTGAGTGTTTCTAAACAAACTGAATTTTCTGAAAAGCACCAGATCAGCATGGCTTCCAAAGTGGCTGGTGGAGTAGAGAAAATTTGTCTGGTGGCCATATGCTTACTTCCACTTTGTTGTTCCCCTCCTCCCGTGGAGCTCGCAGAGCCTGGCCGGCTGCTCTGCTGTGGCTCCGACTGTGAAAACTGGGGTGCCAAGGTCAGGCCTCGACTCCGGTGTGCACTGTTCTGGCTGGCTGCTGTGTCAGGTGTACGGGGAATCTTGGGCTGGCTTGCAAATGCAGGGATAGCATCACCACTGACGACAAGGAAAAGAATATGAAGAAGAAGAAGAAGAATAGTAAGAATAGTAAGAAGAAGAATAGTACGAAGAAGAAGAAGACATTACATTACAATTATTTTGCTTTGTAGCAGTAAAACATTAGAACAACAAGGCAAAGACAAATCACTACCACTAAATCACTAATCACAATAACCACCATGATAAAAAAAAAAAGTGCTGTGAAAACCTCATCCATACAACATCTCATACATACAACTTGTGAGACAAAATAAGACAAGTTCACTGGGTACACATCATCTACATAATTTATGTTAAAGCTACATTGGCCAAGCCAATTGGGACAAGATGAGAACAGTTCTTTATTGATTATTTCCTTTATATCACAGCTACTCTTAGTTCTCACTTGCTCAGTAGCTATGAGACACTACAGCAATGAACGGATCTCATTTCTTAGAGAATTTCATAGCACAGAAATCAAGGCTTTCCAAGGCAGCATCAACCTTGCACAAGCCTCTTGCCCTTGACACTTGATAGCATCCATTCCCTTGTTTCAGTCTGTCTGGTGACAGCGTGCCAGACTATTTTATCGATACTTCCAAGATACCCAGTAGGGACAGCTATCAGTAGGGTAATCTATACGATATGGACTCTGAAGGATGCCGACATATATATTGCAGTTCCCTGGCGTCACAAACATACAATTTAATGGCAGAAATGTGTTGAATGTTTTATTTCTTCATTATGTTATCTCATTCTCATCTTAAATGCATATGCAAATCTAAACTAGTCCGACTGGTGGGGAGATGTCACTTTTGCATAAATTTAGTTTATCAAAGACGATAGCAAAACATCACAGTACATAAAATAAGGACAATTAGATAGGTTGACCACCGTGTTTAACTATGTATCTTTAAACCATACAGACAACTGAAATAAACATATCTGCAAATTTTATATACCTCCACAATTCAAATCAACTGCCAGTTGTCTACCCCAAAGTGAATGTTGTTGCTAGCATGATATCACGGTAAAAACCCGTGTTTATTTACACTTAATAGTTGCATGCATTTATGAAAATTACACAATATTTTGCAGCTAATTTATATCTATTTATGAAATGGTAAGCATTAGGAAAAGGCCCTATTGTGTTGTATCTCTGTGATTCTGAGAGACAGGATCACATGACTCATCTGCACACAGCGAAGGCCCAAACTCTTTCCAATGTCCTTATCAGGTAGGAGCCAAATGACCTACATCCTGTGAAGCAATCCTATGCCATAATAGATGGATGGATTTCAGTCAACTCATTCTTGTTTTCTATTCACAGTAGTAACAACATCCCAGAAATCACCTGGTACAAAGGAATGTTGCAAACCATAAACAAGCAGCAAACTGAAATTTGCATGCATGCTGCATAATTGGCCCTTAAAATCTACCCACAAAATCAGCAACTCGAGAAGGAACAGGGTGTCAAGAATGCAGTCTTTAACTTTGATGTGGGAATGGAAAACAGCCTGGCTAGCCCCCCAGGTGTTACCTTGTGTAACTGAATGAGTCTGAAGCAGGGTTTTTCTTTTGCAAAAGCATGTTCATTGATCTAAAAACAAAGGCGAAAAAATAAATCTTCTCATTAGATTTTTGCCAAATTGCTGTGTTGCTAAGATTCTATTCACCTAAACATCCACGGCTGTGTCCTGAAATCTCCTCTCACTACAAAAGTCTGGAATGGCTTGAAATGAGGTCACTGAATTCTGTATTGTAGAGGTGTTTTACGTTCCTGGGGAAAGGCTGAGGGATAACTGAAGTGGTTTCCTGGGGCTCATTACTCTTGGCAGAATTAAGGAGTCACGTTCCTCTGAGATTTAAAGGAGAGGAGAAGCAGGGGAGGTTTCATTGAAAGAGCCTCTTTGTGGGCACTGCTCGTTTAAACGCATGTCACAGTCTCACAGACCAGCTTGGCAGTGCTGAGTCACCGATCGGTGTAGAACAGCCCTCTTGCCAACTCTCTCCGTACACACACAAATACGCTGACACACATCCCGGAGTTTTACCTCAGCTGACTTTGTTTATTATTATTTGCATAATTCCCTAACAGCCTCACTCTGGTTTAGTCCCTTTTGTGGGAGGTAGCTGCCACGGAACAATTGACTAAATGCACCTACAAGCTGAAGAGTCAGGATTGAAACACTGCAGTTTTTTTGTGTTATTGTTCAAACACTTTTTGCGCATCTTTTGAAGTCAAACACAGAAGTTCTTTCTTTCTTTATAAGTATCCGTAATTTTCACTTCCTTTTACAGTCCCCTCCAAAGTATTGGAACAGTAAGGCAAATTCCTTTTTTTTGAGTTCAGAATTTCAGCTTTTATTTCCTGGTATTCACATCTAGATGTGTTAAACAACTTAGGACGTATCACAGTTTATATTACACCATAGCATCCTTAGGTGAGCAAAAGTGAAGGAACAAATAATCTTATAGTAAAGAACATTTAATATTTGGTGGCATGACCCTTGCTTGCAATAATTGTCTCAAGCCTGTGACCCATCGACATCACCAAACTGTTGCATTCTTCATTTGTGATGCTATTCCAGGCTTTTACCGCAGCTTCTTTCAGTTCTTGTTTGTTTCGGGGTGTTTTTCCCTTCAGTCTCCTCTTAAGGAGGTGAAATGCATGCTCTACTGGGTTAAGGTCAGCTGACTGACTTGGCCAGTCTAAAAACCTGCCTTTGTTCCCTGATGAAGTCCTTTGTTTTGTTGGCAGTGTGCTTTGGGTCATTGTCCTGCTGCATGATAAACTTCCTCCCGATTAGTTTCAATGCATTTCTCCGCAAATTGGCAGACAAAATGTTTCTGTCCACTTCTAAATTCATTCTGCTGCTACCATCATCAATTACATCATCAATAAATATTAATGAGTCTGTTCCAGAAGCAGCCTTGCACGCCCAAGCCATGACATTACCTCAACCATGCTTCACAGATGAGTTCTCTTTCTCCACACTTTGGCCTTTCCATCACTTTGGTAGAAATTAATCTTGGTCTCATCAGTCCATAAGATTGTGCTCCAGATCTTTTGATCTCAATCTGGCCTTCCAATTCTTACTGCTGATGAGTGGTTTGCATCTTGTGGTGTGGCCTCTATACTTCTGCTCTCTGAGTCTTCTTCAGACAGTGGATTATGATACCTTCACCCCTGCACTGTGGAGGTCTGTGATGTCACTTAATGATGTTTTGGGGTTTTCTTTACAGCTCTCACGATATTTCTGTCATCAACTACTGTTTTTTAACTTGGCCGACCTGTTCGATGTCTGTTGCTCAGTACACCAGTAGACTTTCTTTTTCAAGACATTCCAAATTGTTGTGCTTGCTATGCCCAGTGTTTGTCCAATGGGTCTGGTCGAATTTCCTTCTTTTCACAGCTTGACAATGGCTTGCTTCTCACATAGACAGCTCTCTGGTCTTCATGTTGGTTTATCCTCTTTAACAGGAAATGCAGTCTTTCTAGGTTTGAACCAAGGATGAAAACTTAGACTAGTCATGCAGAGCTATTTAATGTTTGGACAATCAAAGTAAAAGGGCGCAAAATGCAGCGGAAGTATTATTGCTAATTTTCAACCAGCGCAGTTGTCATTTTCACACCCAGTGCCCACATTGTTTAAATAGCAAATGCACTGGTGCCGATGGAAGTGTTTAAAATAAGGTGTGGTCAGGCTAATTGTTGGTACATTGCTATCTCAAGGTAGCAGAAAGCGATTGCACCATTGACCAAAAAACATAAAAAACGGTCTAAAGTCAATGGCACAACATTTCTTTGCTTTTTGTTAAAACAGTTAATGCAGCGTAGTGAGGATCTAGATGTTTCAGGGAGGAGAGAGTGTCTGTCTGGTCTAGTCTGCAGTGTAGTTCAGACACTTCAATGATAAACCTGCAGTGAAACATTAGGCTTCATGATCACGTCCACACTTATGTCCATATTCAATAGATATTTTTTACAAAGCATCATTCATCCACCATTATAATATCAATGCACCAAGGTACAAGCTCACCTGGCTTTTAAAGGGAATGGGAGATGACATTGATTGGTATACTGCATGTTACTTCGGTAACACACCGATGACTAATTCACAGACCAAGTACGCCCCTAACGCAAGTGACCCATATGCTTTACGCCATTTGGATTGTTACAGATTATTTAAAAAAGCTAGGTGTTCCTTCATGTTCGAGTTTTGAATGTGCGCCAGGAGACCTCACTGGTTTGCAGGTTCTAACTTCTCTGTTTTCACCAGAGCGGTGACAAACCATTGGACGATGGCAGAATCTTTGCCTCCAAGAGGATTTCTCCAGTTCCCTGATTGATGGAGGGACAACGGTGGTGACCTGCTCATCGACAATCCATGACGATGCAGTTTTGTGTATAACATACCATGGGGATAATACCATGGGAATATATAATTGTGCACTAATGCCCATTTTAATTGTTCATTAGTTTCAGCATTGCCTCTATGCGTTAGTGTGTGTGGTCTCAAACCAATCTAAATCAATATAGTCAAATATAGTGACTTGTTAAGCTCATGAAGAAACTCTGTTTCAACCTTTTGCAGCACTATATTTGTAAACACACAGAACCTCATTTTATACGTGTGTGTGTGGGTGTGTGTAGTTAACGTTTGTGTGTCAGCTTACCTGGCAGAGTGTCCATTGTGTTCCTCCTGGGAATGTCCTTTTCTGGCTCGCTCTTCATGCGGCCTGTCTAACTCTGACTCCTGGGACAACCGTCCACACTCTGAGTCTGAGTGTGTGCGTATATGTGTGATAGAGAGGAAGAGAGGAAGAAAATATATGGGCTTCATCACACTACTTTTGGAATTGTACTAAATTATCTAGTTTTTACATTTAAACTTTAGCGGGTAGCCAATCTCAATAATAAAAACTTAAATGAAACAATAAAACAGCATTGTTACACATTCATGGCCACTTTTGGAACACATGAGCACAACGTGATGCCACGATGACATTAGTTTTACGGAAAGCCAAAATAGGTCATTAGACATTTGTTGCCCATTTTGCTGAGTCTTTATCCCTTATGCTTTCTGAGGAAGTTGCAGGAGCTTCCCTGTCTAGTGGACACTGGGCATCACATCAAATGAATCCAATAAAAAAACAAATAAAGAATAGCAGGTGGAAGGGAAATTAAATTGTCCCACAAATATGCAGCTGATTTTCAGCACACACAAAGTATATTAAGAACAGTATGAGTAATCTGACTGCATTTCCACGTGGTTAAAGAGGAATTATTTTGCTATTTTGAAATACTACTACTATCAAATGTATTGATGTATTGGGAACGACATTTGAAAAACATCTGGAAGGTAAACAACATCCACCCACCGATGCTGTGACGTAGGGAGTCAGCAGTGCTAGGGCGACTGCCAGAGCGTGTAGGAGGTCGGGAGTTGTGTCGGGAAGGAGGCAGGCTTCCTTCCACACTCTTCTGTCTGCTGCTACCCTCAGCCCCCTGACCGCCGGATCGATAATCCCTACACAGCACACATAAACAATACAGCTCAGGTTTTGTAAGAAGTTGCATCAGGATGTTCATATTGGTAGATAAGGTCATTTTTTATATTACAATCTTTATCTTGATATCTGATCTTCATCAGTGCTACTTCATATTTAAACAAGTAAATAAATAGTAACTAGAACCAAAAGTAAGGCTAATAAGTTATAAAACCAGTGTGTCAATTACTTGCTGTGAGTTGATGCTCCCTTATCTGAAAAAAGAGGTCCGACTAACAGCTATCTGAGCTTTTGGAGGTGACAACTGTACAATGTACAACTAAAGCACCCTTGAGCATGAAACTAAACCCTATCCTGCACACTTCCTGTCAGTCTGACACTCACATGCACCATGAATTACCTTGTCAGCTTAAGAGCCAATTTGGACTGTCTGACATCGTCTGTATGTGTATTTAACTTACACGCGTTAGTATTACGATGAGAACTTGGGGTGACTGGCCGTTGTAGGGGTTCATCAACACTTGGTTGCGGCAGAGGGGTTGACTTCTTTTTCACTTTTGCCATGTTGGTCATAATCTACACAACCACACACACACACAGAAGAATTTATATAAATGTGTGTTAATTTGTGAATTTGTTGCGATCATTAAACAGCAGAGAGACAAACTGTAGTCAGCAGAAACAAAGTCTAGAACGCATCAAAGATAGAGTGACTCATAGAAAAACCTCTGGGACACATTCCAAGTTCTCTACATGTGTCCAACACATGTAGAGAACTTGGAATGAAAATGTGCCAGTGTACAGGGGCTTGTCTCGTGTTCGGTGCCCCACTCACACGACCAATCTCGAGATCATTATTAAACTTGTGTAATGGGGTTGCTGGCATCAAATTCGAATTGGGCATATAATTTTCCAAAAACAATAAAACTTTCATTTTCAACATATGATAAGTTGTCTTCGTGCTATTTCAATTAAATATTGGGTTTCAGCGTTTTGCATATCATCACATTTTGTTTGTATTTACATTTTAAACAGCGTGCCAACTTTTGCTGGAAACGGGCTTGTAAGAAACTGGCAGCCTTATTGTGAGTAGTCTGTGTGTCTACTAAGCAAATTCCATGTTTATTTAACTTGAGCATAGCAAGCAGTGGAGTGAGTGTTTGCATTTTGATCTTACTCCCAGGTACTCAGTTGTGAGCAGACTCTCTCCAGACAGTTCCCTGGGCTGTGGTTGGAGGACTTCCTCTGTATCAAGGTCTGCTTCCATTAAATCTTCCTGGAAATGATAGTGAATCAGCTAAGAATGACACATTTGTGGTGGACATGAGGTGAGAAAAATCTAAAACATAACATCACTGTGACTATGGTTACTTTGGCGGTGCCTTATTTCCTCAGCTGAATTTAAAATGAACTTGTTTGCAACAAAATTGATGTGAGGCTACAAACTAAGTTAAACACTAATACAATGCTTGGCACCAAGTTACACAGTACCAACAAGAGACCAGTGTAGTCCACACTACATATATCAGCTCAACCTTATAGCTACAGTAAATGGATAGCAGCTACAAAACACCACATCTAAGATCAGATGCAATGGAATAAGGGAACTCACACTCAAGGAATTCTTATGCGACCACGAGGGGAACAGGGAAAACAGTACACACACTCACACACACACCTTGGAGACTCTAGTCATTCCCACCTTAACTTACTCTCATATACCTTGTCTTGATAACCCACTTTCCCACAGAATCCAATCTGACAGGTCCACACATGCACATGCCCGAACACATGGAAGAAACCCAATATCTGCATCATGCTGAGATTTCCCATCTACCGGTTTGGGAAATATGAGGTATTCTTTTTGTGGTTCCTCTTGCCCTGTTTTCACCCATTCCTCATTTGTTGTTTTTGTAAATATGTCCCTATAGTTGTGTTGAATTAACATAATACGATGGTGAAAAGCATTAACTTATCAGTGTCTAACGGGCTGAGGGGAAGACTTACATCATTGTCGTCCTCTTCTTCTTCATCGTCTGACTCAGGCGCCTCTTCGTCAGCTGGGTGGAACACAGCCACAGGTTTCAACAAGTCAGTAATTTTTCCAATGAACAACAGCTATAGGTGTCACTTACTACTTCACTTTGGAATATAATTAAATAATGAAATAGAAAACTAGGGATTTAGATTTAGGAAATTCATCAAGTATCTCAAAAGCCACTGGGCTGGAGGAAAGCACAATTCTTAAATGTACATACTCAGTGAGTGTATCCTGTATGGATACACATTCATAAAGCAGGACACCTCTATTGTGTCACAGTAATTTTGACTTCACTAACCTGAGTTCAGCTGTTTAATGATGAACTTGATCTGTCTGTTAAGGTCTGGGTTCTCCTCCTTGCTGTAGCAGCGGAGAATCTCCTCTACACTCTACATACACGTGAGGGAAACAGTGTATGCACATACCTTTTGTTAGATTAGATTAGAAAACTTTATTAATCCCCAATGGGAAAACTCAATTGCCACCAGCTCACATCATACAACATATAATATAAACAGAAAGGACAACCAGTATGTACACACAGGACAATGAAAAAATAAATAAAACACACAACACAAAGCCATGAGACGCGCAGGTAGCTGAGTCGCCAGCGAGGAGCGGCGCCTTGACGTATGAAATTGTCTTTACAGCAGAAAGACAAATGTTTATTTCTTAAGTTTGCTTCAGAATTCAAAGGCAGTATATACACTGTAATAACAATTGGCTGGCGGTCAACAGTGCTCATTTTAAGACATGCAAGTGAGCTGATTTTATTTTTTTTAAATTGTGTTATTAATCTCTGGCTGTGTGGTGACACGAAGAGACAAATGCTGAGCAAAAAACACAAATTGTGTCTGTTTCCTCCAAGCAGGTGAAGACATTTCTGCAATCTCACCATCTCTCTGGCTTCCTGTCTCACAGAGGGAATGCACAGGATACTGTATAGGGCTCCATTCACATATGGTCGAATCTAAGGAAAGCAAAGACACACACACACACACACACACACACACGCACAGCCTCTGTCTTTATGACCTCAGGCCAAATGGTAACAGCTTGTATGAACTTGTAGCAGCAAAGAAACATCGATACAAAAAGGAAAGAAGTGGGTCCAAATACCAGTATATTTGTTATAGACATACTGTATGTCATAATAGGTCAAAGATAAAACTCCTAAGAGTGGTAGCTTGGGTTAATGGTCCTCCAAAGAAGCTAGAGACAATCTTTCATAAAATTTAATGAAGCTAGTGTTTCTTTAATGTTTTCTAGACTCTCCTAAAGTCTTAGCTCATTACTTTCAAGACATTCAAAAATTCTTGAGGACATCATAAACTTAGCTATATGGCAAGCCTGGATGTATGTCCCTATTCTGCATGTGCTAATGTGTCATGTGTGCTGCGTGCATGTTTTTGAACCTCTTTCAGTGTGTCCTGTGTGAGCATTGTATGCATTGTGGATGTAACATCTGTGTGCAAGTGTTGAAGGATGCGTGCATCACCTCGTGGTTCTCGTGTCCAAGGAGGTCAGTTAAAACCTTCAGCACATGTTTGGCGTTATCTGCACACTTCCTTTTTCCTGTTCAAAGACAGCCATTCAACACACACACAAACACACGCAAACATACGCATATGTTTTAACTTAACAACACACAATGGGACTTTTTTTTAAAGATAGGTTAATCTTCCACTCAGATTAACAATTAATTATTCCCTCGGGTAATAATTTTGAGCTGTATTGTTCTCTGTGTATGGTAATAAAACCACTGACAAATCAACTGCAGTACGGTATTTTAGTGCCGCATTCTATGAAAAGCAGGACCCGTATCTTTGTTGATGGTGTATGTGCAGTAAAAGGGGGTAACATGTACAAAGATACACTCTAGATATAATGTAAGAGGAAATAAGAAGGAGAGTGCAATATTTGCCTTTACTCTGCCCATAATAAAATCACCTAGCAGGAACAAAGAGTCTGTGTGGCTTTCAAAGATATAAAATAGATTTGCACTGACATCATAGGCTATTAATATGCTAACATTTTTTTCTTGGTTGCACTTCAAGTTTACACTAGGCTTTATTCCCAAATGTAATGTTTTCGGCTTATTGTCAAAATGTTTATAGACATGTATTAAAACACAATAGTCTGCGCCTCACGGGACGCTTTTCAAAAATCAGAAATGATTAAATATGTGTGGGAAAGATAATGGTACGTCAAGTTAACCTTTATTGCATTCTAACAGGAAGCTACAATGTGCGTTTTAAAGTACAAGCAGTGATTTAAACAAGAAAGGATAATGACATTGAAACAAAGGCATCTTACTGTCATCCAGAGCAGAGAAGCATGCCTAGCACAGCAAAACTGTAGCTGTTATTGTAAATTTTTGATTAAAAGTAAATTATGGGTCCTTTTGCGAAGCACAGTACCCAGCTCAGTATTGTGGAGTGAGTAAATGGTTCTGTGGAGTATCTCGAACATGATCTGTTCAAATGTATAAGTAAAGTGTCTTGTGAGGAAACTCTCACCAGCCAAATCTCAAAAGGGTTGGGGCATTCAACAATTATTCAACTCTTTCTGTATCGACCTGCCTTTACCTTTTGTACGCAGACACAAGTTCATAAGCAGAGCTGCAGAGTACTCCAGGGTGTAGTCACTCAGGCAGTCTGAATCTTGCAGCTCATCCACCAGCCAGCCAATCAGATCATCTGCTATCATGGCGGTCTGCTGGCTCCTCCTTGCCAAGACATACCAAATCCAAACTTAATGGAGAAATCCCCATTATGAGGTTTTACATAAAAATGCTGCCATACTGACATTTGTGAGAACGAGAATATCTGTTTTCTGACTGACTGCTTTATGTAGTTTCCAAACAAGAATACTCAATTGAAAACATTTTTAAATCTAGTTTAAGTAAGCTTCAACTTGCAAAGGCTGTGTCCTGTTACATTAAGACAGCTGGAGATTGGCTACCCGCTAAAAAAACTGGAGAAGCAAATGTTCATCAAAACACTGGTCATTTTAAAATCTACCTGAGGCTGAGTTTCTGCAGGGCCACTAGCACATTCTCTCTAGTCAGGGAGTCTTTTTCCTCCTTCCTGAGTGCCTCTGACAGAAGTTTCAGAAGAACGGGGATTTGGGAGAGGTAGACCCGGCCTGTAAGTATCAACACAACATGGAATTAAGATCAAAAGGCAACATATTTTAAATAGATTTTAAAGCTTCACTCCACAAAAATACACCTGTTTTATCAAAGTTACAAGTAGTGCCTTCAACAATGAAAAGCCATAAATGTGCCATTTAATTTTAGGTACAACTGCGAACACTCGTGAGGACAATGCAATGCAACAGAATTGTTTCCTTAACAAAAAATAAAGCTGACTGGACTCACCAAATATGGTAATACTTTCTTTGAAGGTCATGGCTATAATGACTTATGCATACATTTATAACAAGTAGGGTTGGACGATATGGCCAAAAATGTTATCACGATAAAAAGTTTCATATCTTTCTATATCGATAATTATCACGATAAGTATCAAATCGTTATTTCTTTCTATTAGTTATAAAACATTAAATCAAAAGTTCATAATGCATTGTGAACTTTGCTATAGCGCCATGTTTGTAAGTGATTATAACAATTGTTATAAGGTCTTATAAAAGCATTATATCATGTTATAAATGTATGCATAAGTCATTATAGCAATGACCTTCATAGAAAGTGTTACCAAATTAAGTTCCTCAAACCTTTCAGAAATTCTATAAATCCTTACAACAACCACTTAACTACATAATATATATTAATTCGAGTCAGCACAAAATTTATATCCCTTTACAACATCATCTATTTGCAAAATGTTCTCCATAGTTCCTGGCACGACACTGCTGCAGCTGCGAAGGAGGAGGATCATTAGTGATTTCAATCCTGAATGAAAAGTTATGATAAAAGCCACTGACCATATCCATCCATATCTCTAAATACATCCTGTCAGGCAATGACTCATGCTTTAAAAGAAATAATGATGGTTAACCAAATGTTGTGGCTGTTGAGCACTTACCCTCTGCAAGGGAAGCGAATGCATTGATGAGACGAGCCATGTATTGGCGGACAACCTCGTTCTTGGATCTCATCAAATGAAGCACAGTTTTCTATGAAAACACAAAATATACGGTAGTTTGAAATTGTATCAGCTGCTTTCAGGTACAATCAGTAACATTTTACCATTCATTTGAACAGAATGATCATACCTTATGAGCAGGCCTCACGAGAGTTGCTGATAAATGCCAATGACTCATCTGTTATGACAATAGCTGATGAGATTTCAAGATTTTTAAAAGAGGCACAGTCAGCTCGGGATTTTTTTGTTTGTTTGTTTGTTTTGTGCTCTGATCCCCCATACTTCCTGAGCTACCCACAGCCCGCTATGCATTGGGTTATTTTCCCACAACCACATTTCACCTGACACAGTTTGTATTTTGTTTGGAAACTCCCCACTGTACCTTTCAGAAACTCTGATAGCATAGCGTTGTCATGATATGTAGCCTACGCCGTGTGTAAGTCACATACCAGGCAATGAGCTTGAAATTAGGCATAATTTAAGTTGCATAGTATAAACACACACACAAAAAAGTAAAGTTTATGCAACATTATGATGATTATGTATATGGAAAATGAAAGCCTACATATATGAAAAGTAGAACAACTGCACAGACACATCTCTTACAAATAAGCAAGGGCATGCATTGGACAAACACATCAGCCTTTCTGCTATTGTTCACTATTGAGCTGCTTTAGTTGTTTTTTTTATTAAACCTCAGGCCTTATATTTATCACCTCTTTTTTACATGTGCCACTTTTCACAATGTGTGTAATTTGAGTCTAGTCTATGTTAAGGGCAGCTAAATATGACCTATTAGGGAAACCTACAGGAACTAGGGGGAAGACAGAAACATAATAGGGACCAAAAGATGTTATCTTTGAGATTTGGTGTTGGCATTTGAGGTGTTCACATGTTGTATGCTGGCACTGTATTTCCTCGGCCGGGTTCAATAAACGATGCTATGTTGTCTACTGTCTTCATCAGTCTTCACAAACTTCTTCACACCTGAACCTCGCTCACAATAGCATGATATCAATTTTGCTAGCCGGGCCACAAGCTTAGAGGTATAGCACAGTATGGTAAGAACACAGACAAAGAACTAAGGTGTGGATCATGTGGATCAACTAAGGATCATTTAGTCTTCTGTAAAGGGATTGTATTTAACACGGTGTCCTACGGCTAAAGGCTAGGCGAAGAGAATGTGAAAAGAAAAGAAAAAAACACAAAGAAAAGGACGCTGAAATGATAAGAAAAACATGTAACAAAAGCCATGGATTTGAGAAGTGAGAAGGTGAATTTGGTAATCAATCTGTGCCCTGCTCTGGCCTTTTGTTAAATAAAGAGGAAATCCAAGGCTTGGAGCAATAATAACAATCCTCCACCCAGATGATAAATAAAATTAAATAATTAAAATTACATTCTTACGAAGATACTATTGTGGGAAGGTGTCATATTGGATTAATTATCAAGACAATGATTGAGAAAGTCAGTAGGTAAGCATTACTCTATATGACTTAAATGTAACATGTCTTATCAATTTGTCCTATCCATCCTGGGTACATCAAGATTAAAACATTTAAAATGACTGAAGCTAAATTATTATTATTATTGATTATTTTAGTGCTTAGTCATAGATCATTTTGAAGTTTTTCTTGAAATAACATACTGTATTGCTAGTTAAAATGCTGCTTTGCAGCATCAAGTCAATGGCAGGTGAGAAACAAACCCCTGTGCACCCAGCAAAGGTGCCAATTCACCACCTGAAATTAGAGCCTTGGGATTAATCAGGAATTTAGGCCAATGGACCATAAGTTACTTTTTACTGTCGCTTTGCTGGTTGCATGAAATATCAATTGGGATAAATTAATGAATGAAATGAAATGAATGGAATAAATCAATTACAGTTCAGTAGACATTTTGGGAGACATTTGCCAAGTCATTGCTTTAAAGTAGTGTTAAAACATGGCACAATACAAGTAAAAGCTGTAGTCCTGCGTTCCCACCTGTTTAGTGCTGTAGCGCTCCAGCAGGTCGTTACTGATATAGGCCTGAAGCACTGTGTCTCTCTGTTCACCAGGAAGCGAGCGAGTCAGTCTCTAAAAAAATGTGAGAAACAGACCGACCAATTCAGACTCAAAAGATAAGACTTACAAAGTGAATATGATCGTGATCATGCTCACAAACTGCTGTTCTTATGAGCTGCCTCAAAGTAGCAGCCAGTAACAGCCAGTTTTTCTCCCCTCACTGATCCAATGCAGCTGCTCAGCGAAATACTAGATGCACTGGGCTACTATGGCTTTGTGTAGCATATACCGTATGCTAAGACAGCAAACATTTGCTAGGTTAACAAAACATATAAATGTTAAATTCAGTAAGTTTGCATCACTTAGCCTGATTAAAAACATCATAAAAATGTAACACGAATAACAATCACTGTACAGTATGTCACCCTAGCCTTTCTGTAAAATGCTAATCAATATAAGGAAAATATTACAACCAAGTGTTCAGTCCTAATGGACATCCAGGAATGATTCACAGAAGATGCACTAAGGAACACTTAGGAATTACTTGGATGTCAGCAACTGTGATGCCATTTCTTGATCATGCTTCAAGAGACTGATACAAATATAAGACTGAACTTTAATCAGCCCTGAATGGAAGATGGGTCATTTCAGCAAAACAGTAAGAAAGAACTAAGTAAAATATAGCAGGCATGCAAGGATTAAGAAGCAGCAGTGGTTGCAGATGTTAGCAACAAATAAAGAATTTAAATAAGTCACAAAAGAAATAGGAGATTATGAATATAGTATTAATAATGATATGATTACTCACCCAGCGCAGTGCTTGTAGCAGCAGAGACCTGAGTCTGTCTGGGCCTTCAATCAGGTCTTTCTTCAGCTTCTCATAGTCCAATGAGGGTAGCATTGGCACCTCCTTGGATCTCCTGGTGATGAGTAAAAAAGACATGTCAGCCACGTTTTACCATGGCACTTATCAAACTGTACAGATTAGCAGAAAACATCTTAATTAAGACTTACTGCGGTGCAATGGATGCTCGTAGCATCGAGGAGGCCTATAAGAGAGCGACATTGAGTAAAGAAGACGGTGCAGAGTATATCTTAGAATTTGATTATATCAAACTACAACTGTCACATTCTTACTTTAGTGTCTAGTGTGGAAAACTCATCCCATGCGACTGACTCTTTTTAGTATCCTTACTATCTGGTTAGATGCTGTCTAAATAAGTCATTAGTTGTTTTGTTTTTTTTACATGCAAATGTCATGCTTGTGGTACATGCTGATTCCCTGGACATACAGCATAATACTGTTTGGCAACATCACCCATGCAGTCAAAGACAAGTAGGCTAAGATAATTAAGCAATAGAAAAGTACCAGATGTGTTAGGTTAGTGTGAAACAGCCATCCTTTCCTTTGTTACACCTCAGTGAATTGTACTGTAGGCTTGTATGCTGGTATGATGGCTATGTGGAGGAAGGGTGACAAAACTAATTATTGGTGGGTTTTTTTACTATTAAGAAAGGGGATTTTAAGCCCTGAAACCCAACCTGAAGCCTGGGTGGTTAGGCCTATAGCGAGAACAGTGTTCAAGGAAGTGATCCGTGTCGTCTGAGGTATCAGGTGTTCTGGCCACATTTTAGCTTTTGTGTGAAATAGGTATTTCGGAAATGGAAGAGAACATTGAAACCTGGACTGCATAAAAAAATGCCTCTCTCTCTAAACATTTCAGGTGCACTGAAGAATGCTGAAGAGCAAGGGGATGAGAGCCATTTGCCACTGGGGTGTCTCATTTCTGTGAGGCCTGATTAAAAGTGACATCCAACTAGGAATTAGCACACATTAAAGATAACAATTATTCTCCATCACTGTGTATTAACAGACAAGCCACACACCTAATGTGTGGTGAATGTTCAAATAGTGCTGTCAAACTAAATTATTTATTAGCAACCATGGCAAGAGGAAAAACAAGACCAAGCCATTTGTACCTTTTTAATAAAACCTTGATTTTAAGGCCACATTTATTCTCAGATTTCAGCTACACAAAGCAAAGGCTTGACCTGAATTGTCTGACAATGCACAGTTTACATGAGAGATGCCTTTATTATGTTCGCCTGTTTAGCGTGTCTTCACTCTTTTATGACTGCGGGGTCAATGGAAAACATGCACATTGATGCTATTGTCTCAGTACACGGCTCTGCTCCTTTGTCTCATCCCCATGCAATAAGCTAAACCCTAGTGGAGCAGCAAAAAAATAAAATAATAAAAATTTTGTGAGAGCCATCTTAATATTATGAAGGCATAAAGACTCAGATAATTATGGTCAATAGAGGATTTATGTAACAAGAAGCTGAATACTTGCTTGTTTATGTAAAGGCAAATGTGTTCTCTCAGGTCTCAGTTATAGCTGAGACAAATATTTTATCCAGGCTACCAGAAATGTTTACGGTTGTCAGCTTTTGGCAATCAGACCAGGACATTAACAGTAACCACCAGTCAAATGCTGGCAAATATTGGCTGTTGCTGTTTTCTCATTTACAGCTCTTTCTTATTCAACAGTGTTAAATGCTTGACCTGACATTCCAGGCAAGTAAAGTAAATTAGCATTATTATTTAATAGGTTACATCATAAGTTTAACATGAGTGCCTGCTATTAATGGTTTTATGAACTGTCACAATTATATAAATGATTCTACAATGCATTACAACTTTAATTCCATCTAACCTGTTTGACAACCTGAGAATGAGAATGTTTTTTCTATGTGCCTTTTGTTGGCCATTCTTGCCATTCATTCTGTCATTGTATCTGTCTAAATTCAAATGGTAAGTAGAGTAAACTGAAACTGTGGACTAATTTACAGAACAAATTTATTTAATGATGAGGTACGCCCTGAAAGAGACGCCGCTGTTTAGCTTAACAGATGGCCGGACAAAGGTTGTCATTCTTACAGCCAATGAGGCATAACATCCCTTTAAACTAGGACAATCTAGTAGGAACCAGAGGACAACTGCAGGGAATATAGACTGGGTATAAAGGAAGGCCAAGAAATCTGTCTGTAGTGAAGGAAAGGGAGGCAGACATAAAGACAAAGAAAGGAGGAGGAGGAGCCACAGCGAGTCAAAAGCGAGATGAGACATGGGGACCGGAGCGATAACAGGAAGTAAAGATGAAAACATAAAACTTACATAGCCATCATCATAGGGACTCATAGAGTAATATCCCTTTGTGGACAAAAGCATCACACACGCAAAAAAACACAAACACACAGAAAGAAGTTGTTCAGTTCAAAATTAGAAAGAAACAAGATTTCACAAACCAGAGTTCAACACTGAACAATGAAGGCCACGGAGAGTAAGTGTGATAGTTGAGGTTGCGGTGTGGACAGTTTTTTGACTATCTGTGTCATAGAGTAACACTGTAACAGCTGTCAAGTGGCAACACAGATATGAACAATTTCACCAGCTACTTGCCGTTTGATTTGAAAATTTCTACTTGACTGTCTCCTTTGGCATGCAATTGAACATAAGCATAATTTTTATTATAACCATTAAAATTAATTTAAGTTTCAAACGTGGTTAACTTTAGATCTCACCAGCCACTGTAAATGGTGTTTGACATTGTTAATTTCTTGCTTTCATTGTGTCATGTATATTTAACTTTTCCACAAGCCTTCTACGTGTGTGTGTGTGTGTGTGTGTGTGTGTATTTTTGCAACACCAGTATCCAGCCACCTATTTCCAGGATACATACCGCAGGATTACTACATAGGTTAGATTTGACTGAAGAGGACAAAAGGCACGCTACGGCAGGAAACCCTCCTTTATAAAACATCTAACAATCCTCTTCAAACCCTGAACATCAACATGATGATGACAATTTCTGTGACGTAAGGCCCTGGCCGCATTTCTCTCTGCTAGTACTTAGGTGTAACACTGACATTTTCCATGCTTGTACTGAAATCGTCTTGCCTTGAGGCCTTGTGCTTTGTTACTCTATTACCATTGAGGTGAGCCGGAGAAAGAGGGAGAACAGAGACGCGTGTGTGCTCTCACTCACAGTGCCAGGTCTGGTGAAGTCACTGCTCTGCACCACGCTCTGCCTCATCTTGCTGCTGAACAGGCGAACACACACGCTCTGCAGGTACTCAGGGGAGATCTGCAAAAACACAGCAGGCTCCTTGAGCTTTAGGATACTGTGTGTGGGTAGAGAGAGGAAGAGCACGGCTGCCAGGGTTGTGTCCATGCGTTCTAGTAGCAAAGTGCATATACGTACATTTTTAAAATACTTCCTTCTGTTTTAAAACTACACTACAGTATGTGTATAAAAAGGGGATTCTTATTTTAAGTGTTTGGATATACAACTGTGAACTTTACACATGCGAGTAACAGCTGAATTAAACCCTTTTTGTGTGTGTGTCTGTGTTTGTGTGTGTGTCTGTGTTTCTGTGCACAGCCTTTATTAGCTTGTTTGTGCGTGTGTGACTCTTTCATTATGTCTACATAGCATCCTTCTGTTGCCTGTACCTCCAGCCTGTGTGTTGGAATGCGTGGGTTTGTTTGCCCCACAGTCAAGATAACCTACCATTTTCCCACTGACAGTGGCCTCTAATGAGTCGACCAGCTCAGCAGTGATTCCAATCAGGTTGTGGTAGTCCGCCTGCATCTTGTTGAACTTTCGCACGTAGCTAGTGATGCGGCGGTCCGATTCAACCAGTTGGAGCTGCAATTGCTGTATGGCCTCTGCGCAGTCTCTCACACACACACACACACACAAACAAATGAGCAGCATTCACATGATGAGTGACGTTTTCTGTGTAACTTAATGTTAAAGTGTTTGTCATAACATGTTAAATGTTCCATTTGAGATGAAAATAATGGCTGGATGTATATCATTTAAAAAAAAAAAAAAAAGTAATTCTCACATTGACATTGCAATGGCTGTTGGATGTTGATTTTATTTTTAAGGGCGCAAATAATTATTAACTTTTATCAACCTCTACAGGCAAAGAATTGCAACACCGACAAACTTATTTCTCCTTCTTTGGGAAAGCTTCCCATCACCGCTTCTTCATTTGAATTATTACACTCTGTCACTTAACTGTGAACAAATTGACAATGTTACTACTGAACCACCCATCGTCAACCACTTGACGCGGGGGGGTTGGAGCCAACCCCAGCTGCCATCGGTTGAAAGGCGGGGTACACCCTGGATAGGTTGCCAACAATTTAGATGTATGAATATGCCCACTGCTCCCCTCAGGGATGGGTTAAAGGCAGAGAATGAATTTCGCTACATATTTGCTCAATCATTTCTACTCAAGAAATCACTGAGCAACTTGGACTTGACAACTTGTCTGCAGCTGGTGTGTTAGATTATTTGAGAGGGATATTTACCTTTAGAACTCCTTCCTCCTTCCTTCTGCATGATGCCTGTTAAAGAATACACACTAGCACTCAATTGAACTCTTATCAAACATTTCTACTCTATTTGTTTCTTTGTCAAATTCTCTCATCCAGACCTACATACAGACGTGCTCAAATTTGTTGGTACCCTTACAGCTCATTGAAATAATGCTTCATTCCTCCTGAGAAGTGATAAATTAAAAGCTATTTTATCATGTATACTTGCATGCCTTTGGTATGTCATAGAATAAAGCAAAGAAGCTGTGAAAAGAAATGAATTATTGCTTATTCTACAAAGATATTCTAAAATGGCCTGGACACATTTGTTGGTACCCCTTAGAAAAGATAATAAATAATTGGATTATAGTGATATTTCAAACTAATTAGTTTCTTTAATTAGTATCACACATGTCTCCAATCTTGTAATCAGTCATTCAGCCTATTTAAATGGAGAAAAGTAGTCACTGTGCTGTTTGGTATCATTGTGTGCACCACACTGAACATGGACCAGAGAAAGCAAAGGAGAGAGTTGTCTGAGGAGATCAGAAAGAAAATAATAGACAAGCATGGTAAAGGTAAAGGCTACAAGACCATCTCCAAGCAGCTTGATGTTCCTGTGACAACAGTTGCAAATATTATTAAGAAGTTTAAGGTCCATGGAACTGTAGCCAACCTCCCTGGGCGCGGCCGCAAGAGGAAAATCGACCCCAGATTGAACAGAAGGATAGTGCGAATGGTAGAAAAAGAACCAAGGATAACTGCCAAAGAGATACAAGCTGAACTCCAAGGTGAAGGTACGTCAGTTTCTGATCGCACCATCCGTCGCTTTTTGAGCGAAAGTGGGCTCCATGGAAGAAGACCCAGGAGGACTCCACTTCTGAAAGAAAAACATAAAAAAGCCAGACTGGAATTTGCTAAAATGCATATTGGCAAGCCACAATCCTTCTGGGAGAATGTCCTTTGGACAGATGAGTCAAAACTGGAGCTTTTTGGCAAGTCACATCAGCTCTATGTTCACAGACGAAAAAATTAAGCTTTCAAAGAAAAGAACACCATACCTACAGTGAAACATGGAGGAGGCTTGGTTATGTTTTGGGGCTGCTTTGCTGCGCCTGGCACAGGGTGCCTTGAATCTGTGCAGGGCACAATGAAATCTCAAGACTATCAAGACATTCTGGAGCGAAACGTACTGCCCAGTGTCAGAAAGCTCTGTCTCAGTCGCAGGTCATGGGTCCTCCAACAGGATAATGACCCAAAACACACAGCTAAAAGCACCCAAGAATGGATAAGAACAAAACGTTGGACTATTCTGAAGTGGCCTTCTATGAGTCCTGATCTGAATCCTATCGAACATCTATGGAAAGAGCTGAAACTTGCAGTCTGGAGAAGGCACCCATCAAACCTGAGACAGCTGGAGCAGTTTGCTCAGGAAGAGTGGGCCAAACTACCTGTTAACAGGTGCAGAGGTGTCATTGAGAGCTACAGAAAACGTTTGATTGCAGTGATTGCCTCTAAAGGTTGAGCAACAAAATATTAGGTTAGCGGTCCCATCATTTTTGTCCATGCCATTTTCATTTGTTTTATTATTTACAATATTATGTTGAATAAACAATCAAAAGAAAAGTCTGATTTCTATTAAATGTGGAATAAACAATGGTGGATGCCAATTACTTTTGTCAGTTTCAAGTTATTTCAGAGAAAATTGTGCATTCTTCGTTTTTTGTGGAGGGGTACCAACAAATTTGAGCACGTCTGTACATACATCACTGTGCAAGTGTGGAAAGAATACTTTAAAACAGTTCATATTAATAGATTACATTTATCAAGTAACAAAATACAAAGTGAGTGAATAGAAGGAAATCTAATCAGTATTTGTTGTGAGTAAAAAAAGAAGCATGAATTCTTCTAGGTACACTTGCACATACAGTAGTTGTTAAAGGACCTCGGCAGGTACAGAAAGCTGGCCCAACCCACAGTTCGTCTGTGGATTTAGGCAGCTTCAGTTGCTTTTCTCTCTTTTAATGTATCCCAGACAGACTCGATGATGTTGAGATCAGAGCTCTGTGTGGGCATCATTTCCAGGACTCCTTGTTCTTCTTTAAGCTGAACATAGTTGTGGTTGTACTGATGTTATGTTTGTGGTCGTTGTCATTATGCAGAATAAATTTGGGGCCAACCAGATACCTCCCTGATGGTACTGCATTGAGGAGAGCAACCATGGGCAGCAGATGGGTGTACCTGGGTCCCACTGTTTTCTGCCAGTTTTGAGTTGATTCTGGTTCTGGGCTGAACATCTTCTGACTGTGAAGGGAAGAAAGTACGAAGTGTCTTGCATCTGCTGCAGTAAGTTTCTTTGGCGCTCAACGATGCCCGTTTCTTTCTGCTTCTTCAAAAGAGCTTGGACATCTCATCTGGAAACCCCCTGTCTGCCTTGAAAAGTCTGCCTAGGAGAGACTTTGCTAATGCAGTATAACTACCTTGTGTCTTGGTGCTGTGCTCAGTCTTGCCATGGTTTATGACTTTCAAGAGTAAACTGTCTTCAGCAGCCTCCCTTTGTTAGCTGTTCACTCACTTTGCATTTTGTTCATTTATAAATATAATCTATTAACATGTCTATTTTTGAAAGCATACTTACTTTACATCAGGGGTTTCAATTAGAATTCAAAGAGGGAGAGAGAGAGAAAATTCGAAACAAAGGTTTGGAGCATCTAACAACTAACTTAGGATTGTAGATCTATGAGATATTTTGGTTTTAAACTGCCCGTAGGAAGAATGTACCTGTGAAAATTTGTACATTCTTGATGAAAAGCCATGTGAAATATCTTTTCTCTTTCTGTCTCCTCAATTCATGTGTTTCCTCTGGTGAATCTTGTGGACTCGACTCGCCATGCTTATCGGAATGCACAGATGTGATTGGCTGAGCAGCATCACATGAGATGATTGGAACACATGCAACTGGTCTGTGAGTTTCCTGGGCCGCTAAACCAGTACAGTAAATGCTAGAAAAGCTGCACGGGTTAAAATAGTAACGCTCTGTCACGAGGTAGTAAGTCTCAATAATAAATAAGCTATAGGTCGCGGTCCGCCTATTAGTGACCTCTGCTTTACATCATTGTTTCCACCTAAAACTAACAGTACTTTACATACAGTATATTCAGTGTCTTGCTTAGTTTCGACAGCACATAGGACAAACACTCAGTGTTTTACAACCTGTTTGAGGAGGGTGTATTTGTTACAGATATTATTTGCTTAAATGAACCAGCTGTATTGTTGTAAGCAATGTAATGGTTTATATATTATCAATACTAGTTTGTTTAAAGGGTGCAACATACAGTACGTATTTTAAATTTCCTGAGAGGGCAAACACAGCTATCATTCAGTGCATTTACAAACACTTGAGTAGCTCGGTTACAGTTGGATTTCCGCAGTAAGGAGATTTTCTATATGATCTGATATCATATAAACACATGTGATCACTCTTGAGTGTGTTGTGTCAACTTAAAAAAGTGCTGCCCACTGAAGGGTTTCAAAGACTGAAAGATTAGACATGTTAGATAACCTCAGTCTTTTATTTTTTATATATGCACAAACAAGACATATTTCCTCTGGTTAGCCCTTGAGATGATAGCGGCTGTTTTAATCTGTATATGTATGTGTGTAATGCTTTCATCGTCGGCCAGTAGGGATAGGGTTTGGTTTCATGATTGTGCAAGGAGGAAAGTCGATCCACTGGGTTTCCAGCAAAAGCAACAACTCTTGTTATCCTTCACTTGCCCTTCTACTCTGAAAGGGTTAGGGTGAGTTAGTGTCACATTAGGATCAGTTGCCATAAGGAAACATAGCCATTTATAAATGCAAATCAGACAGGATTTGTTTTCAGGATATGAAACGACCAGGTCTGGGCAACAGGCCGACTATTAATGAATTCTTTAGTGACCTACAGAAAGGCCTTTTATTTGAGATTTAAATGTGCAGCTAAGCTAGAAGAGGGAATGGAAATCACTCTGTACTTGGCATGTGTTAAATCCCTGAGTTGTTCCCGTCTAGATTTGGTTGTGTTATTCCTAGGTAATAATATTATTTTAAAGCCAGTTTCTAAAAACATTTGTCTCCTTTGGTGAGTCTACACAACTTTTATGCAGTTTGGTAAGCTATGTCTCTGAGGGCTGTGAAGTGCTGTATGAACACACCACTGTTAGATTTGCAAACATGCCTGCTAGATTTGCTACACATATCACTTCACTGAGAACAGCAAAGACATTGAAATTAAAATATAAAGTCCACATTCTGTACTCTGCTGGTCATGATAAAAGGATACATATAAATTCAGCAGCTTTGGGCTGTTGGACGACTTCAGGGCCACTGACAGAAACTGCTCCAGCTTTTCCTTCAACTCTGGTATCCAGGAATCCTAAACAGATAATATAAGTTGGAAGAAAATATGGTTATGTTCATTGTGAATGAGGCACTGGGTTATAATGTTGCATATGTAATAACTGGCAATACCCATCTGGGTAATGTTGAGTACCTGGAAAAGATCTTTGAAGGAGGGGTGGACAGTGGGGTTGGGAACAAAAGGCAAGGCGTAGTAAGGCAGAAACTTTGTTGTCTGGCTCAGTGCTGCCCCCCGAGTCTCCAGGTACTGCTTGAAGTGGAAAATCCTCTCCTCAAACTCAGCTCGGTCCTGGAGACAGGTTTGGGTTTTCAAGTATTCTGAGTTATTTCAAGTCAATAACAAAATGCAAGTTAAGCCCATTACATCCTTTAAAATTCTTCTTCTGTGGCATGGACACATTCTCTTCAATTATATGATTCTGTACTTTAGCCTACCACTGAAAACTGATGAGCTGCTGCTTTTAAAAAATAATAACTTAACTTATACATATTTAATCTCAACACAGCAAAAGGCATATTATAAAGGTTAAAAATTCCTGCTTGTGTAGTGCAACAACGACATCATAGATAGCTCACTGACAAAAAGACTGTAGCACAGCTTAGTGGACATTTTGAAAAATGGCACATAATGATATTCAGCTATAGGGCACAGAAGGGTTGCAAAAGATAGTTAGTTTTGTTTGCAAATAACCTTAAAAAAGGTAATGCTGTTGTTAAAAGAACATCTAAACAAACAAACAAAAAATGTAATCTACACACATGTCCACCAGGATGCCTCCTCAGTGGGTAGATGGTGAAATGGATGTGAAGGTAGAACTCCAGGCTTTGGGCCTCTGTGTCTCTGTCTTTTACCTCAGAGGGAATATTGTCTGTCCACAGTTCAAAGAATACTTTGTGGTCTCCATCATCAAAAGAGCTAAGGAGGTCTTTCTAGAAAAGTCAGAGTTAAAGAACAGCGAGTTGGGGGAAAACAAGATGTCATCCACCAGCAATAACAACTTGCTAGTTTTCATGATCATTTTATTTGCATATCACATAATGATAATTCATAGACAATAACATTGGCAAGACTATAAAAAGACCTGAAAATGTTTAGAGATACAATAAATGAGAAACAGAACTACAAAAAGCCTAACTTGTCTTGACTCTCTGTCCTCTAGAACATCCAAATCAGTAGATTAAGAACTACACCATTGAGCAAGCTGTTAAGTATCATAATACTTATAATAAAAACATAGGCTAATGTTTCACAGGTTGCAACAACTGGTAATAATGTATGGTAATAATGCATGGTAATGTTTGCACTTTTCTTGCCCTTCCCTAGTTGCCATCTCCACAAATAATCAACAAACCTGTAGTAACAACAGCTTATAAAAATTGTATCATTTACCTGAATGACGCGAGTCTTTGAGTCTCTGTGAGTACTTTCTTGAGGCTTTAAGACGAGCTTGCCTTTGCTCTTGCACTCCTTGTCAAAACTGTGAACAGTCTCTTCAAATTCCTCAAACTTCAGATACTACAAAAGACAAAAACAGGCACAGGTGGCATTAATGCCACTTTAATTAGTGCAGAATGGAGTTGTGTTAAAACTGAATTAAACAAGCTACACAACTGTTGTCTTGACAAATCTCTCTATAATATCATGCTCCATCAAGCATGGTTTATTGGAGAAGAGTTGTGCATCTTGTTCAGTTCTAATGGACTTGGTTTTGGTGGATCTAGTTTGCTTTGTGTGTATTCTCAAAATTTGAATGTGGTACCTCCTTGATCATCCCGAGAAGATTGGCTTCCGTTTCCAAGATGTACCCCATCTTGGCTGCCTCCTTAGAACTCATGTGAGTGCCCAAAACCTTTAAAACACCTACTGACAGCAAAGACCTCCTCTCTCATTAAATTACGTTTGTACTTCCAGCGAGTATTCTGCAGAACCTGCAAGAAGAGGACAGTGCTTGGCACTGTTAATAGTCAACAATAATGAGAAAGTGTACCACCCAAATAACTTAATTACAAAGTTCTTTAGTTTTACTGCGGTGCAATTGATGTTTAGAGTTTTTGTGAGTCTAAAATTCAGGGCACATACAAATATCCAAAGGTTTTATCGTAATGCTAACATTCTTAAGCAAATAAAATCTCATTTTTACCGGCGTTTTAAAGCTGTGAAACCAAAACGTGAATACAGAAATCAGATTGCACATTTTCCTGCCTTTGAATTTAAACCTTATCTTCAATAGTAAAATTCAGCGACAACTTCAACTTTAGCAAAAATGTGGCAAGTTAGTAACATACTAACAAGTTAGCTGACGAGCTAACATTAATCATTTAACGTTATCTACCGTTAAGAGGACATTTACATCATTCTCACCTTATTCTGACAGCATTTAATGGGTGAGTACAACGGTAGGCGCTTTCAGCGTGTTCGTCCGCCACTGAAACTTAGAAAATCCATTTTGGACAAACATTATGGGTTTGCATAACCTAATGGTCAGCTAACGCTAGCCATTAGCTAGCAACCGTACACAGATAGGACGCTAAAACACCTAGCAACCAAATGGTTGGGAAATGCAAGCTGGAAAGTAGAGGCAAATGTCGTAAATACCGACAGCACGACTGTAGACGCTTGCAAGAATATTCCGTTTAGTTTGTATAAAGTCGCTTATTGTGATATTTATCTAAAACCGGCTAATACGTTGACTTTTCATTACATAATTTAACGTTATTTCTTCAGCCAGACAATAACAATTCGCCAATCTATTTTTATCAACACTGTAAGGTAACGTCACGTTCATAGGTCACGTTAAGCGTTTGGATTTTCGACCGGAAGCAGTTTGCGTGTCAGAGGTTGAGCTCATTGTTCCTTCGCGGTAGTTTGTTTCACAAAGTAAAGTTAATGAATTAAGTTTTTTCGAATAGGATATTTAAGTTATCGCACACTCGCTAACACGGTGCCCCGAGAGAAACCGTGTGACTGCGACGCTATTCTGTATATAATATAATAAAATAATCTTATTTGAGGTAAGTTAAGCTTGGGGAAGTGTGTGCACAACATGCTAAAGCTAACAGCTAGCCTGAATAGAAAACACAGCTCAGGTTGTAGTTAACGTTGTGACAAGACCATATAACTTTGGCTAATCCAGCTATGCCAGGTAGCAACGCTGTAAAATTAACATAGAGTAAGAGGATTTTAGTGACGTTAACAAAGTTGAGTTTTGCATGTGTAATTGATGTTCATGGTCCACATGGCTGTCATCTTCGTCAGTGTGAGTTAAAGGCTGGTGTTGTGAATTAGCTTTATCTCATTTAATTCTGCTATTGTTGTAGTTCAGATAGCGTTAAGTAACACTTAAAGTTAGCACAGTCAGTATTATTAGATTCAGAATAAAGATCGTGACAAATGTTACGATATCAGGAGGGCAGCTGTCAGTGTGTGGTCTGGAGATGTACTGAACTTTCACAATAAATCCAATAATTTTTTTTACAAGAAGTACAGTTTTAGTTAAATTCCCAATTAGTTGTAATTTTTGCTATATTTTAAATTGTTGACTCTTCAGACATATCTATGAACTTTGACACAGTGGTCTAATATATTCAACAATAAGTCAAGCAAACATTTTTATAATAGTTTAATAGTTTTTTTCTGCATCTTGTAATGTAGTTATGACAGTGCTGACAATAATGAACCCTGCAACCTATACTATTATATTTTTTAATTATGGTATTGAGATGAAAATGTCAAGTATTTCATCATCTTACCTGGCATCAAAATAGCTTACAATTGTTTGGGACTTTTCTAAACCTGCAGACACCTTGTTTTTAAAATCATACTTTCCCCATAACTAGATATAATACAAGCACTTGTTATTTAATAACTTTATTTGTTTGTTTTTTTCAACAAAAACTGGCATTATAATAATCTTTGTCTTTCTTCTTTTGAAGTGCATTGACCAGGACAGAAATGGCTGGAATTCTGTTTGAGGATATCTTTGACGTAAAGGACATTGATCCCGATGGCAAGAAGTTTGACAGAGGTGTGTAAAATGTCAACAATGCAAACATTATTCACTTTTATTGACATTTTGTTACTATCATGAATCCGGTGTTGGTCTTCAGTTGGTGTCCTTCAATTTAAAACTGCATATTAACTAATCCAAATGCCACTATTGTTTGCCACAGTATCTCGTCTACATTGTGAAAGTGAATCTTTTAAGATGGACCTTATCTTGGATGTGAACATTCAGATCTATCCTGTTGATCTTGGTAAGGAGAAATCTTTTTGTCATTGTGTACATTTATTTTAGGTTAACTATCTGAAGTCACTTAATGGATGTGTCTAATGCAATCTTATTCTAAATTAAGCTTATATACAGTATAGTCAGAAAAAGATTGGTTATTTTTCAATATGTCAGCAGAATAAATTTACGTCTTTTAAATCAGAGTTCGTAAAAAGTCTTGACAGTCTGGAAAATGGTTAATTTTAACGGTTACATTTTTGTAACCTGTATGCATTACATACATACATATAATCTATACATAATCTGATGTTTCATCTACAAAATCACTCATGCAAACCAAATCTTTTTTAATAAGGTCTAAGTTAAAATGAACATTTGCTGAAATAAAGTGACATACAATGATTGCTGTGGGTACATGGGAATTCTGCAAACCATTTTTCACAAGTGCATTTATAGTAACTATTTAAATTTAAAAAAGGGCTTGCTGAGTCTTTAGTTTATGTACATTAATAAGTTGGATGAATCCTGATAAGTTTTAAGCAATCAATTCTTCTTTTTGACAAGGTGGTCCAATAATTGTTTGGATTCACTCAATATTTGACTATGTTAACAAACTGTGGCTTACATGTAAGTGAGCAGTGTAAAGCTAACTGCAAATGCAAAATGACAAATATTCCTCTTTTGATGTGTTTTTTTATGTTTTCTCTGGGACTTAATTCAAATTATAATGCAAAAATGAAAATGTAATTCTAGGACCACATTAAATAAATATGGAAACATTTGCCATTTCATTTTCAAAGACTTAACTGTCCTTGTGCAGATATTATTGGTAGATATGAGCTAATTGCAGATAAATCGGTATCGGCGTTAGGGCTGTCGTCATAACTGCAAAATTGAGATACCGCACTATTGATCAAGCCTACTGCGGAGGATGGGAAGCACTGCAACAACCGCAATGTTCATACTATACTCTTCAGTGAATGTTTAATAAATTAGTGTTTCAAAAGTTCCTCAACCGTAATGAGCTCCGTAACGGTTCAAGGACGGATCGCCATGGGCTGTACGTGATTCAACTTCAAACTTAAATAAACTGCTGTTTATTTTAAGATTAGATAACTTGGTGTTAGCATATTGCGCGGCTAATGTGACTAGCAAGCTTGGCGATGTCGTGATACTGAGGAACAGTCAAGAGAAACTGTGAATGTAAGCCTAATTTGAAGAATGCGCGTAGAGTGTCGGATGCCTGCAGTTGTTTTCATGTTGCTTTCTGTGGTATGTAAATTCTGTGGTATGTAAATTGAGTTGTGAAATAGACACGGTCAAACTGCAAAAATGACTTTGCTTGGCAATGTTGTTGTCTAGCACCCAGCAGCTAGCTTGCTCCGACCATAAAGTTGCTCTTAGTGGCTCGCTGTGCAGTGAAGTGAGATCCACAGACACTCTTACTATGCTATATGGCACCAAATGACTTAATTTATGATAAATGTGACAATACAGCATTACCACGTGGGAAATTACTTCACCGTGACGGCCCTAATCAGCATTTATAACAGCCGATTTATGACTATTAAAAAAGAAATTGAGAGTCGGATACTTTACTCATCTCATGTGTTGCATAGTTAGTCCACTAGAGGGCTCTCTGCAACTCCCCTGTCAACAACAATGCTGCACCACAAAACAAAAGAATCAGCTGACCGGAGTGTACCGGAGCATGCAGAAACAGGAATGGAGAGTGGCTGTGTGCAGGGTGAGTTGGTCATTCCTCACGTGAAATACATCACCTAAATAATAAAAAAATAGCCCCCATCACTTCTTCTCTCCTGAAAACATTCATGAACATACTTGCTAATCCTCCCGTTTTTCATTGCCCTCTCTTGGTTTCCTCCCAGCTCACAGCAGTTTGTTTAAGGTTACAGTATAGTTGAGTTGTGGAGGCTACGCTGCTGACAAACGTTACTGTAGATTTATTTGTGAAACAGTGTGTCAGATCTAGTGAACAGTCCTATTATTTCTCCCTAGTTCATCACTTATAAATATTCTCAATACATGACTTACAGCAGCTAATGTTGCTGTTAGGTAAATTAGATTAGCCACAAAGCTAGCTAATGCCATGTTTATCAGTGGAAGAGTACTAAAGCTAATGAGCGGTTAAACTATAGTGTTTAAGGTATTCTAAATGTATATGCGAGCCGTGAATATGCTACATTGAAAATAGTCATTGCGGCATATTATGTGTAAGGTAATTACTGGATGACAAAAAATATATTTCCTATGTATGAGAGCCCTGTTTATCATTATGATGTAATATAATTATTGTAATGACATGAATAATATATAGTATTATTATTGTATTGGTAGTAGTACATTAGTATTTTTTTTTATCTATAGTTTTTGTTTGGCAGGCCCACACAGTAGGCTACAAACACTATAGAACTCTATAGTTCATAATGGATTTTTAAATTTTTGTAGTTTTTATTATCTTATTTATCAAACCTTTAATATATTTATTTCAGCATTTTGTTATGTTATCTTAGTGAGGTCTTATAACAACAAATATTAGGGATAATCTTTGTTTATGTTATTTGTTTCTGAAAAGAAGGTAAAAAAATATCGGCCGATATATCTGCACACTGGATTTTAAAATCGTCAAATATTGAAATCGGTATCTATCTTAAAGATCCCATATTGGTCGTCTATAGATAAGTCTGTTTTTCTGTCATGTAAACTTATAAAAACACAATGGCCTAGAGTTATTGTCACATTGGTGGTGTAAACTAAAATATGAAATGGGACTGCAACTAACGACTATTTTCGTAGTCCCTTAATCTATTCGATTAGTCGACTAGTCACAATTATTTTTGTCATCCCCTAACCCTAACCATTTAACTAATTAAATGTCTTTCAAGTGAATTACTGATCTCCAACACACAGCCTAACTAGCTAATGTTACCATTAAGTGAACGAGGTTTACTATTCAGCCATTTACACCATTATCAATGCCAGGGGGAAACCAGGGAAGAAGACAAGACAACGTAGGCTTCTCCTATAATTCACTGATTTATACAGACTTTAAAACTTTTAACTGTTCAAATATTTTTGCTTTGGAACCATATAAAATCAAATTAAAAGCAAGTACTATAACCACAACTGTACACTAACAATGTGTCTGTCTATTTAAAATAATAAAGCAACAATCCACTTTAGTACTACTTCTGTAGTTTATTTAACTCAGTGGATAATGTTCTGTAGGCTACATCACGAGCCTTGTTGTGCTTTAAACCATTACTCATTACTAATAACATTTTTAAAGCAGGGTCCGACATTGCCAGCGTTGTGTTGGACAGATTTGTGCTGCGGTGTTTATAAGAGAGAGAGAGAGGATGCGCTATGGCACTGATCTGCAATCAAATAAGATTTTAAATGGGCCTAGTAAAATAAAAAGAAACAATCAGTATGTGGTGGTCAGCGTTGATATTGTAGTAGGCTGCCACAAATAAATGAACGTATAGGAAACACTTCCTTTCCTCTGTCTCTGCAGCTTTGTTGTTGCTGCTGCAGTGGTCTGAGTAACTGGGACCAGGGCGTTCTGTGGGCGTGACTGGCACCGGCCGGCCGGCACCGCTGACCTCACAGGCACTTGTGGAGCTTCTCAGCCCTGAAAACGTTTGAGCGCATTTTCGATTCGCCATCAACTTTGGTAAAACTGCCAATATTCAAGTTATAAACACTTGATTTCTCAGCTCACAACCGCAAAAAAATGTATTTAGTAATTAAATAGCGTACAAAACCTGTAAAAACTCTGCTGTTCGCCTCTTTCTGTTACTTTCCCGCTTCTCGCAAGAGTGCTTCTTCTTTGTGAGTAGTATTACAGTCAATCAGTCATGGCAGGCAGTGGAAGCGATACTGCCCCCAGCATTTCCTGTATTGCATTGCAGTTAGAAATAAAAATTTCCTAAAAGTTTCCTAGTTTCCTAAAATGAAGATATACTATCTCTCCCCTAAACGGCATCTATGTAATGGTGCTTTCAGACCAAAAGCGAAGTGAGCATTCGGGGCAGTGAGTTTACATACAAAGTCAATGCAAAGACACGTAAAGCCGCGATTTCCTGTTGGACGACGCAAAGGGGGCGGGGCCGGCGACGCAAAGGCAATGCAAAGGAATTCGCGTGAGTTGAATATTTTCAACTCAAACGAAGAAGTCGCATGACGCTGAGTCGCAATAGTCTATCAGTGTTGCGATTGTCCGTATGTCACCGAGGCTTCAGAGCGTTGTGTGGAGAGGGCCAGGCAGAGCGGGGGATTGAAAATCTGCTGGCCGGCTGAGAGCTGCTAAACTTGGAGGGGAGGAGCAGGGAGCAGCGCTGCAACTATTGAACAAATAAACCCCCATAGTCGGTTGGATTCTGCTCTGACAACTATGCCGTTTACTCACGGGAGGAGCTCGGAGTTAACTGTTTTTATTAAGTTAGCTTTTTACTTTAGTTTTTGGGATTTCAACGTTGATTTATCTTAACTGGAGCTTCTCAGCAGCTAGCTTCCGTGCACATCCGGTTCTAGTGTTGTTGTTAGCGTCGTTAGCTCTGTCGGACTACGACTTAATATTTATATAAAAACCGGACAAAACTGGACATTACTTGGAGAAAAGAAAGCGAGGAGGTTGAACTACCTGGTGAGTTCAGAGAACATGTCTGTAACTTTATTATATTATAACTTTATTATTATTCCAGCTATCATTGTACTTTACTGTGACCAAGTTAGCATAGCATAGCCCTGATCAATCCAAACTCCATTCAGAAAACAAACATTTTAGAAGTTGTTGTCCTGCTGTCTTGCTGACAGACCTGACAAAGCATGAATTCATATGTTCAAATCTGCATCATGTTGTAGTTATTTGGCATCAGTTTAATCGAGGTGAAAATTCGCGGTTGGTCTGAATGCGGCATAACGATCATAGACTGTACGATGCGTCGACAATTAAATTTCACGTCAAATTTTTATAGTCGACGTCGTCGACTTATCGTTGCAACCCTAATATGAAACAAATAAAAGATGTGAAACATCAGTCAATTACTTTTCTGGTAGAAAGACGCCTAATAAACAGAGTTATTAAAAGTTTAGTGATTACTGTAGCCACCCCTTGTCTCATATAGGTGTATGTGACACTCACCATGAAGCAGAAATTTGTGCAACAGACATGCTGTAAGTTACCATGTCAGCAGTTTCTGCAGCTACAGTGCAGACTGTATGTGTCCATGTTTTAGAGAAAATTTTAGAGAAGTTTTTATTTGTCATAATTATTGCCATGTTTTAGAATTTTGACAGATGCAGATTCAGTTTGATACCTTTTCAATATACTGTAGAGAATTTCATATTATTTATATTGTGATCTGTCAACATCATAATAAAGCTTTTAAATGCTATACTATTCTTTGTGTGGTTCATCAATACTGATAAATGATCTGCATATATTTAATGAACGTTAACAATCACTAACATATTGCACTTAGTAAAAGTAGGCTACCATTTCTTGAGATTCAGCAAAAATATGTGGCGTTAACCGCGTTCAAACAATGTGGACAGCACAGTGTCTGAAAAAGACCTTAATAAGTGAATGCATAATTCGACAAAACGGATGTTGTAGGCTTCCTGCCGAATTTTGCATCCACCTCTTTTCTCAGTATAAAAGAGCGTTACCTCCCGCGAGGTGCCTATGCAATAATGGCAGGCATGCAGAATTCGGCACAACACCTGTGCTGCAAAACGTCACTGACTTGACGGAGCTGTTTTTATTCCCCTATCTATCAAGTCGGCGAAAGTCTGCCAGTTATCTCGAACGCACCTGATGACTACCAGTTACCAGTGGCGGCTCCTGCCAAATCTCTCAGGGGGGTAAATTGTTGCGATGATTGCTAAGGTGACCAGTTCAATGGTCTAAGTCTGCTATAAGACAAGGATTGTTTCCTAGGCTACATACTGTACATTATTTGTGAACAGCTACATACTGAAGTTCATTGTCAATGTCTACAATGAATGAACAGTCCTCAGTTAAGATCAACAGATCTTTAGACCTTTGGATGTAAAGGCAACTTCTTTAGCATTAATGAAAAAAGGATGACTCTCTCAATCATCTGATTTATCTGTGACAAACCTTTTATTTAGGAACAACAAATCCAGAATAAAGCACTGTATTTACACATAAACATCAAGGCGTGTAAGGGGAAATATAAAACGTATATTCTATTCTTTCTGGTTTATTTTCTGTGTTGCTTTCCTACTTCTTCTTTTTACCCTCCTCTGACAAGATGCCAGTGGTGACCACATCATGCTACCTCCTCTTTCTTCTTCGGTTTCTGGCAATAAAACAAAACACATCAAATAATTGTTACTGGTTAAGTGCAGCTAACTTTAAATTGACTCCACTAACACATATAAAACATGGCTTAATAACAATCACATTTAATATAAGCATAAAATTCTGCTTAATAATAACGTTAACTATCAAGATTTTTTTTACAGTCATAATTATTAGCTTAGCCTGTGGCATTTTACGGAGCATAAATTAGCCTAGTGGCTAATGGAGTTTTTCCTCTCCTCATAGCTTAACAAATTATTATTATGTATTATTTAAACTGTGTCTTACTCACCGCTGGTAAAGTCACTGCATCTCCCGACACCACGGTTGAATTTTCACCCTAAACGTTACGTTTTCAAACAGCAGCTGGTCGTAGTGAGAGCAGCAAGCTGGAGGACCGCCGAGTCGTTTTCAGGTGGCAGAAGCGTAGCTCTGCTGCTGGGCGCATGACGTAAACACGTTAGTGCGAGCCCTCCCGGAACCCATAGAGATTGCATTGCAGCGGCCGCAGCTCAAAAAAAACCTGCCTTTACACGAAAGTCGACGAGAGAGATCTGGGCGATTTACAACCAGACTGAAATTGCACCAGAAGAGGCAGGACTCCACGGAACACGACTTGACGCTAATTGGACAGCGATATTCAGAGACAACCTGTCAAAAACAGTCACAGCTAACTAACAGTGTGGTAGAAAGTGGTAGAAAAATATCCCCTGCCTTTCCCCATTTGGCGGTGCGTCGCCCGTTCGCCCTAATGAACAAGCCGCCCCTGCCAGTAACACAGCGTGCTAACTTCGACAGCTGTTTTCCAAAGTTAACATAGCTATCCTCATTAGCTAGGATCTCCTACATGCAACTGTTTTGAAGATGGGTCTCCGACATTGACAGCGTTGTGTTGGACAGGTTTGTGCAGCGGTGTTTATGATATCAACCATTCAATTCACAGACGGGTCTGTTGTCCGGGTTTGCGAGAGAGAGAGAGAGCGACCGAGTGAGCTGATATGCGCTGCACAGCGCTGCAATCAAAAACGATTTTAAAATGTGTCACCAAATTTACTTGGGCGGCTGTTAATCTTCATGGGCGACCCGCCCAAGTAAAGCCTATGTGTGCGAAACACTGGAAACAAATCCAACTTGGTAGCTAATGAATGACATCTGACTGGTGTGTTCACTGTCGCTTGTCTAACCTGGTCTGCGCTTCTAAAGTGTGGGAAACACTGACTGAACCATTGTTTTTCTTTTTACAAGCCAGGGCTTCAGCAGTGTCGACCGGCACTGTGTCTCCCTCCATGTTGTTGAGTTTATGACAAGACGGCTGCATGCAGACGCAGAGGGGCAGGGGCTGTGCGGTAAGGGAGAGAGAGGAGCAAACGCTGGCAGGACTTTATGGAAACAAAATAATTAAACAAAATAATTAACTCAACATCCAACTATATTGGTATAAACGGTATTGTCTAATTTTATCTCTTGAAATTATATTGGTATACCTCTTAACACCAATCTACCGCCAAGCCCTATATTATTTTATACCATGAGTAGACTCTCAAATTAATAATTTTCCATGAAATTATGTGATACTTCTTTTCCACTACTTACCCAGTAACCCATTTTACTCTGTCCCTTTCTAATTTGCATCCCTTATGGCTGACACATACAGTAATAATAATAAATTGATCGTGCCTCTTCAATTGAACACAACAGCATTTCATAACTTGTTAAAATAAATGTGTCCTTGTAGTGTCAAGCACTGAAAGTAAAGTTGTAGGTGTACTAATTGTAATGTACTGAAAGACAGGATGTTTTTACGTGCAAACGTGCACGTAAAAACAGCTGCAGAACATGCAACGCTAAGTTCAACGGGCTAGCGTGAAAAATAAAACGTAAAAATGGCAAAACTTACAGGTTCCAAGTTTGAAGTCGGCATTGATCCATCCTTGAGCTGTTCCGGTGTTAGGTTTCATTTGTGGAGTGTATAATGATAAATAAACTACTGAACCTTGAGATCGTGAAGCTGCCTTCTAATTGAAGAGGAAGTGACAGATTGTATTTTACATATATTCATTTTAGCTGACACTTTTATCCAAAGCGACTTACAATTGCTACCCTCTGCATCCCTCATTGCTTTAATTTTATATCTGTTTATTATATATATATATCATTTGTATTGTGTCCCACAAAGGGCGGCTTGTCATGTAAATGTAAATGCATGAGACTGGGGCGCTGTTTCACTTATTGCATTTGAATAATGTCCACTATAGAGCAGAGTAAGTCTTAGAAAATGAAATGTCAAAAACTGTACTCATTTTCATTTTCAGATAGTTCGAAAATGGAGTTTTCATTTTTGATCTAAAAAGACCATGGTGACATGTAGATAGGGTTGCTGATTTACTAACTGCCTTTGAATAATATCCACTTTAGAACAGGTTAAGTCTTTGCAAATTAAATGTCAAATGCTGTTTCCATTTTCATTTTAATATGGTCCTAAAATACCCACACAAGTATGTGAAAATTATTACATTTGCAATTCAGTTTGTACTTAAATTAAGGACCAGGAAAACAACCATAGTTTTATTTAGAAATCAGGGAAGAAATTTGTATTTACAACCACGTAAAGCAAACAGGGCGATCAGACGGAGCGTGTTTTTCAACTCGAGGCATTAGGAATGTTCCTGCAAACATGCGAAGTGCTCTGAGCTTTGAAGCGACCACACAGCACAAACACCCACTTGCCTAGCTGTGGGGCTTACAGTAATCATATGCCAAAATATTAAGACACCAAAAAACTGAGAAAGTTTGGAAACCCTTGCTCTGCCTTCTACATTAGAAGGCATAGAGCATCTATCTAATAGCGCGCTATTAGATAAAGGTGGAAACCTCCATGTGTCAAAAATCCTTCACTGACCTAAGGTGTCTAAGCACACAGTATAAACCCACTTTTTCGCATTTGTGTCCATTTCATTAAGGTGACAAGTTCAGACTGGTTATTGCCAGCACGTTATATGAAGACGGAACACCAGATGATGGAGAGTACAATCCTCAGGATGACCGGCCATCTAGGTAAGACATATTCTCTTCATATGTTGATGCATACAACAAATGCTATTTGGTTGATATTTGCTTAAAGGGTCTAATACCACGTGTGTCTACGTTTTCAGTGTGACTGCCCCCCTGTGATATCCCATTTTATTTTTTTTTCTGGTTTAGATTTGTGTTCTTAACTTTGTTTACATTTCCAGAGCGGACCAGTTTGATTACGTGATGTATGGGAAGGTTTACAAGATTGAGGGTGATGAGACTTCAACAGAAGCAGCCACACGCCTGTGAGTGATGTTACTCAGTTTAAATGAAGCTTTGAAGCCTCACCAGATATATGTTGATTTTAATAAGTTAGCCAAATAAACAAATAGCATGCAATTATTATTATTAGTACAGCAATACCTTTTCATTTAAAATCAGCAATATGTTTTTTACATTTTCATCATTTGAATATTTGGTTGTATATGGGTGACCAGTTTAAATTTTTCACATTTGTAGCAAAAATGTTTATATAATAAAATGCAGTAACTAGGGCTGGGTATTGGTACTCAACACCGTTAAGGTATCGGAAATAGCCCAGTGCGTAGTAGTAGTATGGAAACTTCTCCAGTCAAACAAGTACTGGCGGAGGTTTGTGACTCACAACTTAAGGAAAAAGCACTCCCAGAAATCTTTCAATAAGATTTATTAATCCAAAGTTAATATTTTCCAATATATTTTATATAACATGTATGTATTTGGTGTCACTTTATGGGTACTGATATCATATAATTTAAACAATACCCAAACCTAGGTGTAACTCATCGTGTTACCAGACAAATGCACTGTAGGTGGCTTGTGAGTGGATTATCATTAGTACACGGTTCTCTGTAAACTAACACACTCAGTTGTATATTGCATCGATGGCAAATCATTACTAGATAATGAGATCACATTATTTTTATCAATTTATACAAATGTTATCTCTCTCATTTGTTAGCTTTAATCAAGTTGCATTGATGTGCTTTCCTTTCAGCTCTGCCTATGTGTCTTACGGTGGCCTCCTCATGAGGCTGCAGGGAGACGCCAACAACCTACACGGCTTTGAGGTGGACTCCAGGGTCTACCTTCTCATGAAGAAACTGGCCTTCTAAAGCCCAACCCTGCTCGCCCACTTAACCTTCTTCCACTGCCACAGACCACCCTAAAGTCTAAAGAGCAGTTCATAGACAGAACACTCTTGTAGTTACAGTATTGTTTCCTCTAAGGAGATGGACTACAGACTAAAGACTGTGACACTTAAGAACAGCTGCAACATCTATCTACTGGCAAACTGTAAATAAAGATTCCTTTTATACAAAATCATTCTTAGACGGGCAGTCACTAATCATCGAATTGATATTTTGTTTTCATCCACCATATCATCCAACCTCAGCAACTGCATAGGTGCTCTTTCAAACATGTTGATTTAGGTTTTATGTAACTTGTTTTTAACAAGAATGTGGAGTCTATTTGTAAAACTGTTCAGTATTTGGATAGGCAAGCTTTGTGCAGGGCAGGAGAAGGTTTTATTAAAAAGCTGCAGCTAACTGGACTGTGATGCTCATAGGGCTTTGGAAAAAAGATATAATTGATAGACACTATACAACAGCAAATTTATACTCCATCTGAACATGAAATAATGCAGTATTTAGACATTTATTTATCCCTACACGATTTATACTGGCTACACATGGCGAAGTCACATTTAAAACCATTGAACAGTCTGCAACATCTCTTTCTAAAAACGGTCCCCTTTAAGGAAGTATAGGTACTACAGCAATGTTCCAATGAAACACTGTTCAGTGTGGATTATCGGCCTAGAGTTAGTGGAACATTATAGGCAACGTGCTGCTTGTTGCTGAATATTTTAAGATCTTTATACTTGTACTCTCTGAGTAGCTGCTACCTTATTTGGCCTTCAGTGCTACTCTTTTTTTTTTTCTTTTACCAATTTTTCCCCAGATATAACATCCTCACAGTACTTAATAAAACATTTTGGTTTAGGATGTTGACTGGATGCTCTGGCAAATATTTTAGGAAATTAAAATATCTTTCTCCCAGCTCACAGGTAGGACTTTTTCTGAGCATGCCACGGGTAACTGGTCTAAACTTGCTTGGATGGCAGCAAACTAAAATGTTGACACTCAAGCGACAGAAAATTTAATTACTGGTGAAGAGGCAGCTTTTGTGTGCAACACAGGCTTCTCAATGTCAGTGGTAATGGATGTCACAGGATGGGGAGTAACGCTGTCAATGAATCCCATAGACTCCTGCTATGTGTATACAAAGCCTTAAATGCATTTGAATATAGTGATGCTGCAGAATATGCAGAAGTTTAAAAAAAGAAATTGTTTAAGTACACAAAGTTATGGAACATAACTTATGTGTATGTTGGAAATCCTGTTGGAAATTTGAATTTGAATAGTATACTGTATGTTTTAAAAGAATACCAATACCTAAGTACTGTAGTTACAGATGTAGCAGAGTGTGTGTTGATGATCAATAACATAAAATGTAACATACTTTCTGGCCATGCAGTTAAAAATATTCAGTGTTTTGCATCACAATACTCTTGGTGGTGGAAAAGCTAATGTTAATGGTCAGGACATGGGCTGTCATGCAAATTAGGTTTTTACACTGGTGGCAGCTTGACAGTCTTGGTTTAGCAAAGAAGTGCAAACTGAGGACAAAGAATAACAAAGTGCATAGTAATTGTGCCATACTGGAGCAGGCTTAATGGCATATCATACCAATTGGGATTCTTTTTTGGACCTCAGAAAGTCTGAGCTTCATATTTTGAGGTTTTTCAGTGTAACGTTTATGCAGTGTCTAATAAGATGGCCGTAGGTCTTATTAACACAATTATCACTATACCCCTTTATGTGTATTTACTTTACAAGGTAGATTTATCATCAGTGTATCATTTACAGCACAACACAGTTAACATGATTAGGTTGTAGCTCCCTTTATGCTACTCACAAAAACAAACCTCATACAAAAATTGCAACACAGCTGAGCATTTTCTAAAGCCAACAATCATTTTTTAGACTTAGAATGCGCCTTTATGATTTCTGTTCATTTTACTGTGAACTCTAACTAAACCTGCTCAGATTGATTCATCACATTGCCTTTTGTGGCAAAATTATGAATTCATCTACTACTACTACTGTGACACGTGTGAATTAAATCTGTATGGGAGTGAGGGATCACAGCTTGGGGATGTTCCAAGGCGTGTGTTCGTCCGCCGGAAGTGATGTAGGCTGGAGTCAACTGCGCAGGAACATCCCGGGAACATCTGCCTCGCTGCTTGTGCAATGTTTCCAGGTCGGTGTTGACTGTTGCGGGAAGCATTCTCTGCTCGGGGAATGAACTGCGCTTCACGAATGTGAACTGGCGTCGCGTCCAGTCACTGTAGGGATATGTAGAACAATATGAATTCCTACTTCAAGTATTTTCCAAACCGTCTGCTGACAGATTTGGTTATACATTCGGCTCTAATTGGAAGCACTACACTCGGGATTATGTCAACTGTGGTGTTTTGGGGAGGGACTAGAATGAACATGCATTTTCAAGAATAATGAAGGCGATCAGTCAAAGCATAGAAAGAAGTTTACAGCAACCCAGAACGATGGATAATCGACGGAAAAGGAAGCTGACATTCTTCACTATTGGGCTTATATTTCTTCTAAGCGGTGTGGAATATGGTAAAAATCTGTTTTTGGTTGTTATTGTGGCTTTTGCCTTGTGTGTTTTGTTTGTGAAATTTTTTAGAAAGGAAGACACAAATCATCAGTAAATGCTAAATTAATTTATTTCCCATGAACACCCAAGTAACATGTTTTCATTTCTGAGGTAGGAGCACAGATATGTCGTTGCATTTATGTCAAGTTATTGTTTCTTCTTCTGACAGATGTTTCACACAACCAGTATGGGACTATGAGAAAGACATATGTAGTCAGAATTATAGGATTAGCCTACTAAGTGCAGGAGTGAGTCAAACACTGGTAGTTATTTATTGACTAAAAAGTTGAATAAATACCAGATTACATCTCAAATAGACACCCTGTGGAATTTGTGTGTATTTGTAGAATGTCTATCAGTTTGTTAAAACTCCAAAATATACCAAACAATACCATAGACATGACCTCAACATTCTTAATACACTGCAATGCAATAAAATAACACAGCAGTAAATACTACTTGGAGGTTAAATTTTATGGAACATTTTGGGTCTTTATGTTGAAAGATGTTTGAGTATTTCTCCATGCCATTTGCATATAAGGAAGTGCACATGCTGGAAACACCTTACAATATAACACATTGTTTCAACATGTCCCTTACAGTTTGTAGTTACTGTTTGTAGGTGATTGCATTACAGTGTTTGATGGTCGCTTGCTGTAGGTTTGTTGTTCTAAAAGCTGTGTCAAAGGAGCACTCTCATCTCACCTTGTATCTAGATCTCCATTCAATGCAGCATTCAGTGCAAATGTCTGTGCATTAATAGTTTAAACATTTTTAATTAAATGACCACATACAGACTTATAGTTGTCAGGAAGCTCTGATTGTAAGTTTTAAAAAACAGGATTAATATTTATTAGTGATATTGCACCGCCTTAACTCAGCCTCTGATCAATGTCACAGTAAGGCTCAGGGGAGTCACAGGGTTGCAATACACATTGGTAAGATGCCTTTGGGATGTAGCCTAGGTGATTATGTTTTCCCACATGCATAGTAAGTCAATTGACTCTATATAGGGCTCATCTCTCTCTAACCTTTATTTTAGGTAGGAAGTTGTAACACCAGTTACAATTTAAATAGAAATAAAAACACAGTCATCTGAAACAAACATCACATATAAAAGAAATGGACTAAATCCAACTCACATGACGCAGTTGCCTATCTCAGCTACATGGAGTTTTAACATATGGCTTTAAATTCATTTGGTCGGACAAGATCATTTAGAGGTAAGTTTTGAAAATGATTCCAAATCCAAGGAGCAAAGTAAGAGAAAGCTTTTTCCCCAGCTGACACAGATGACTCAGCATCACTGAGTTAGACAGAGTAGCAGCAGACTTCAGCAGATTTGCAAGACATTTGTTCATGTCACATGTGTTGTGAAGATATTCAGCTGTTTTGAAATCAGATACTCAAGTGTAACGTTACGTCAAGAGCCAGATAATAACATATTCTGCTTACTTTTGTCTCCACAGCTGTAATACTGCCCACAATATGGAGATACTTGCAGACTTTAGATGCAGCACCTTATTTTCTGGGTTTGGCCCTGTCAGCATTCAGCTTGAGTGGCCTCGTGTCAGGACCGCTGTTTGGCCTCTGGTCTGACAGAATTGGGACCACCAAGAAGATCATCTTGTTTGCCAACCTTTTTGAGATAATTGGTGAGTCCACTCATATTTCTTATTTCCACCACTACTGCCTTAAAACGGTTTTCTCATGAGTTTAACCACTCAAGCCTCAATAATATGAAATACTCATGTGTCAAAAACACAAACTCCATTTGTTGTTCTATGTGAGTCTTTATGTTAACTTTTTCCACTCCCATTTTACTCACCAGGTAATTTCATGTACTTCATGGGCTTCTCCAAGTGGCTCTTACTGTCAAGCAGACTGGTAGCAGGTGAGTCTGCAGTGACACTGTGACTTATCCATTTGGCAGGTGGCAAGGCAGTAGAATATCAACCTCAAGGTTTCAGGCTTTCACCTTGTGTGTTGTAACGCTGAAACTGGTGATCTCTATTAGAATGGTTTTAAAGGTTTTAGAGGCCTGAATCGAGGTAAGACAGGTCTAGCTTGGAGTCATTAGCTGACCCCGCAAGTGTGTGTTCACTGACCTTCCCGATCTTGTTCTTTCTCTCATGTAATTGTCCTTGTTAGGGAGATGACAGTTAAATACTGGTGTTATCTGGGAATCTTACAAGGTGAAATCTTTCAAGAATGTTTACGAGAACTTTCTGGTTCCACACATTGGAGTGCAACTCGTGGATAGTGTTAGATTCCAATGTGACTCATGCATTAGAATCTTAAACATCAGACACATTTGTTGTTTAGGTTAAGGCCAGTTAAAGATGAACACTAGGGGGAAGGCAGAAACATAAAAGGGACCAAAAGATGTTGTGCCTCAGATTTGGTTTTGGCATTCGATGTGTTTCCGCATTGTATGCTGACACTGTATTTTGTCGGCCGGGCTCAATAAACCATCTCAGACTATGTAAGTCTCCGAAACTTCTTCATCATATTTCATTACATTCATGTCAACCTTCTGTTGTAGATGAAGTTATAATTAATCATAATTGAGGATTCATCAT